AATATTGCGCCTAGTGAGGCTACACACATTTGCACCAAAATTATTTTCCAAGAAACCGTCAATACAATAATTGTTGAATGGGTTTCATCATAGAAACTTTTCATACGCTGATCAATTCTTATTGATTCTTCTTTGATTTCTGTTGTATCCCATTTACTTCCTAATAAAATGAATATCAGATAAGTTTTTTTTGTAACTAACCTATCAAAATTATACAAAAATCTACTGAAAGAATAACTCCAGCTCCCAAATATGTGAGCAGTCGTAAATAGAATAAAATGGATTGTTGTTTATCAGCTTCGCTTAAACATAAAAATAAATATCCATTTTGTTGAAACGTTTACCAACACCATTCGAGAGCAGTTAATTAAATTACAGATGACTGCATCAAATGAAAATACCGCGCAATATAATGTGATAACTACTATTGCAATAAATGAAGCAAATGGAAATACAGGGTGTCATTTAAGTTCCCGCACAACTTTGAAGACGTATATTTCTGAAACTAAAAGTCCAAATCAAACGAGACTCAAAATATTATTTATCTATAGTACAACAAATAATTATCTATTAACTCTTTTCGATTCGGCCTCCTTTCGCAGCTATGACTTCACGGAGACGCTTCGGGTAGGATGTGACTGTGGTACGCAGGTATTCGATGGAAAGATTGTCCCACTCCGCCAGTAATGTCCTCTTCAGAGCCTCTACACTTGAGTGGGGTTTTGCGTTGACCTTCTCCTGCAAGACCCTATCACGGAAAAGTCAAGCGGTTTCAGATCTGTGGAGCAATCAGGCCATTCGGATGACTTGATGAAGTCGGGAAAATGGGTCTGGCACCACTCCTGAGTAGTTTTGGCAGTGTGGGCGGGTGCTCCGTCCCGCTGAAAGACCCATATCTGCCCACCGAAATGCGTTTGGGTCCAGGGCATCACATGCTTCTCCAAAATGTCCCGAACGTAGACTTCTTTGTTCATTTTCACTCCCTGATCCACGAAATCCTGGGGGCACATCCCGGTTGAGCAGATGGCACCGAAAACCATCACACTGGCAGGATGTGAGGCTCGATTAATTGTTTTTCCTTTCTCAGAAGCTTGCTGGGATGTCTGGGCAAGTACTCAATGGTTTTGTGAGTAGAATGCCGTCTCCACAGTGAATAGCTTCTCGTCGGAGAAGACAGTGACGAGATCTTGTCCAGACCGCGTGCGAGCAAGAAGTCGTTTTGCTTTTTCGAAGCGTCTCTGCTTGTTGACGGCCGATAGAATTGCCGCTTTTTGGACACGATATGGGGTCAGTACAAGCTTCGTTTTGACGATTTGTTCCAAAGCGAAGATGCTCATTCCCATGTCTGACGCTATCTTTCTCATGCTCCTGTGGGGGTTTCGGCTGATCCTCGATTTGACGGCGTTGATCTTCTGATGAGTGGTTACTGAGACGAGTCTTCCTTGTCTGGGACGGTGACTGGTCGTATTTAGCTCCTTGAATCGTTTGATGGTGTCATAAACCGTTCTACAAGGCACACCGACCCGTTGAATGATGTCTCTCGAGCTCACATTTTGCTTATGAAGTTCGATAATGGAAGCGCGATGGATGTTAGCCTTCGCCGTTTCTCGGAAGCACATCCGAATGAGGTGAAACTTGGAAAGTAAGTAAAATATACCTTGTTCAATAAAAATAAATTGAATTGGTGTACGAAAAGTGCGTTAGCGAAGCTCTACATGGCGTCAAACTTTTGTGCGGGAACTTAAATGACACCCTGTAGTTCGAAATCAGTTATTTTGTCAGTAACGAAAATCAAATACGGATAGATTATATTAATTGTGGAAACTGTTGCAATTATTCCCATAATTGCTCCAAACAATACTTGACGTAATAATAAACTCCGATAGCTCTGCAGTATTTTCGTACTTGACTTTAAAATAATATAGCATGTAAAAATCGTTAATATGGAAGAAATTGAGGTAACAGATATAGTTAGACATTTGTAGATTAAATATGTGCTGAAATATATTGTTGAATACTTGGCTATAATCTTCTAATTATAAAGAAAATCAAAACGAAAAAATTCTATTGACTGAAAAATACCTCTTTTTATAATGTTCATAGGCCTCGAAAAATCCATCGAAATATTCAGCAGTAGAAAACGTGCCGACCAAATCGTTGAGAAACATTAAAATAACTCGTATGCGTTGCTACATACAGGTGATATACAATTGATTTTGTAGATGTTTGATGTCTATAAATTGTCCTAATAAGTCGTGTACAAATATATTATTGAAATTAAGTAGAAGATTCAAAAAACGATAAGCGAGTATATGAAAAAAAATTTCTTGTTCGAAATGGTCATGTTGTGCTGATTTTTGAGTGTCAACTTGCTATACTGTGGAATAATTGGAATCTTAATGTTTTTTTATTTTAATCAATTACATAAAAATTAGACTCTTGATCCCACGGGATTTTTTCAAAAAGAAATTCAACGAATGAGTTGAGACTGGGTCGCGTTCAACTCGCCCTTTTAAAGAACACCTGGCAAAGGTGGAGGAATGAGTGTCGCTTTTCAAACACAACATCCTGCCGGTGATGATGTCCGCTGCTGAAATTTGGGCATGATACAGTACTGACCTGTCACGAATCCAACGATGTACCGACAGCATATTAAGCTTTGCAAAGATACGACGATGAATTTTTGATTTCTTGGGAGGGGGATTTGAACACCTTCTTGGTTTCTCTATGAGTTCACCGATTAAAACTTTATCGAACAATGAAGAATTGTCATATTTCAAAGTGAATATATGAACGTTAATTGCGTAAAAAAATTTAAAATATGTTTATTTATCACTTTTTTGTTTCTTGATATTTAGGACAATAAAATATACCATCTAAAAAAGTATAGGCTTCTATCTATTTGAAAATGCAATTTTTTCGAGTAATATCGATGTCTAATTTTTGACAATAAGATTTTTAATTCAAAATTTTCACAAGCTCAGTTTAATATTATCATATAATTTTGAACATTGACTATTGACTTTGAAATTTGCCGTCTCTCTCCTACTATAACATTGTCAATTTAAAAAAAAAAAATTCAAAATATAATACAATTTTTACAATTTTTTTTTAATATAAAGTCATTTTATTAAAAAAAAAAGTGTAACCTATGCGTGTATATGTTGTAGCAAACAATTTTCTCGCAAATTTTTATCCCCAAATCAGTCTTTTAATTTTTTCCCCTATTTTTGCAATCTTCACAACCAATTCTACATTCGTCATTCCCCTCATTTTCAAATCTAAAGAAAAATAGCTCCGAAAAAACATAGGCGGAATGTTCTCCTAGAGAACAAAATTTATCTTCTTCTTTTACATTTTTTGTATATGAACACATTCTTGTAACGAGTGCCACGGTGTGCAACCCCAATAAACGTGAGAAATGCATTGTTCTTTATTGCGTTTTCTCTTATTTTTTTGAATATTCATATGATAGTCGTCTTTTATGGGAAGCCTCATGCACTCGCCAGCATTAATGAAGTATATTGAGCCTTCTCATTGTTTTGAAAGAGAGAGAGAGAGAGAGAGAGAGTTCATCCTCATTCTTCACTCTTTCTCTTTGTCAATGACATCTCTGCGCTTCCAAAAATTCAAATTCCGATGTTCTGGGTTCAAAGCCATGCACTAAATGAATGACAAATATCAAACACTATGAAAAAAATCGTTTTTCGTTGCGCCAAAACAACAAACACGCATAAATGTGAACCTATTTCATTTTCGTGAGCTTCTCGTTTTGGGTAGAACGAATATTTTCCATCAATGCCGAAATAATTCGCCTATTGAAACATCGTGAAAAAAATTCTCTATGTCTTCACATTTCTATTCAACTCTAGTGTTCTTGCTCTGTTGCACGTCACATACACACACACACACACACACACAAAAGAAGAGATTTTACCAGAAGCGACGACAAAAAATATAAAAATAATCGAATGGTCACATTAAAATAATGTGTCTCGCAGATTGTTCGTCAATTTCGTCGCGTGGTCTCGCCCGAAGACGCTCTGTCATTCATATTTTCTTGCTGCTTACTGTTTTTCTCCCCCTCCATGTGCGGCATTTTTTCGCCTCTCAGCGGCAAGCATCCGCTGTGCTTTTTTTTTTCGCATGGCGCAGAAAAAAGCTGGCAGTTGCGGCGATGTTCTCTTCGCACACCAATATTTTCTCATTTTCGCCTCTCGGCTGTGTCCCGTCGCCCCTCACCCAATTAATTTTATGACTATAGATTTTTAATCGCAAAAACCCAATGCTGAATCATTATTGATGGAAGTTTAATAATCAATCAAGTAAAAAACCGCAATCCGGTGTTGGCGTGAGCAAGCGCACCGCAGACATTCTTGATGGCATCGCTGTAAAGTTTATTACGCGGTCACTATGCCGTCTGTGTTTTCATCCTTCAAATGCCTGCCCTTTTTTGTCATTGCCGGCTGGCTGGACAACGCTTCTCCACGAACGCTCGGCTCTCTTTGATACCTATGCCGACACGCGCTCATCTCCCTCGCATTTTTTTCTCGTTGCCCTTATTATTGAGCTCTCCTATTTTGAGATATTTTAATTATTATCGATTGTAGAGTGGTCTGAGTTTCCTAAACAACGATGCGTTCAGCAATTCATAAAAATCGCGACTATTTTGTGGTATGTGTTCGTTTTTTTTAACTCAATTCTCTTCTACATGTCGTTTGAGATTGACAAAAAAAACTGCTGGGACCACGGCGAGAAATGTAAAGCATGTGGAAATGATGTTTCCACCAAACCTGTTATAAAGGCATCCCCGACTGAGCCAGTTCAAGAACAGCATATTGGCAGAAGATGTGCCGAATGTCAATGCTTATTCCATTATCAGTATTATTTTCATTTATATTTTATTGTCAGTAATTACACTTTTCAGATGTATACAAGCTTCATCTCGTGAGACTTTTGATTTCGCGACTCCTACCTGCGCAGGATGTGAATATAAAAAAATGAAGGCAAATTCCGAAAGTCAGCTTTTGCTTGGATCAAAGGAATGGGTTGAGTGGTTCAAATTGAACATGCCTCGCTATCCACGTTTGTATGTTTAGTGATAACAAAATTAAATTTTTGTGAAAACATTTCAGGAAGACCAACATTTATAATTTTGAAGAGGAGAAAGAACTCATTGCAATGCTAGAAAAAAACCCGACGCTTATATCGCATAAAGTTGGTATACACTAATATTCATATTGTTCATTTGAAAATTTAGGTTTTTGTTGTCTATTTGTCATTAGGTAGTCATGAGAAATTGGAATTTGGCAAACAACTTGAAAAGTTTAGAGAAATTTTAGGTAAAATGAACAAATTTTTCTTATAACGATTTAAATTCTACAGGATCTGATTGCCTGCTCAAAGTTATTGATGCGTGCGCTCAGGTTCCGTCTTACATCAATGTAAAAGATTTCTTGGCCGGATTCAAAAATCAATATAATGAACGTAAAATGATTTACAATCTGCATGAATTCCAGACTGCTGCTTATGAAGGGTATGATTTCTCAGAACTGAAAATAATTTGAAATTCATTCAGATTTGCGTCCCATATACCGCTTCCAGAGTTTATGAAAATGATTGCCGACATGGCTGAACCGTGCGAGCAGCAAAGCCCAATGAAAAGTCAAATGGTGTCATACTTAGGAGTTTATAATGCTTACACCTTCACGACATTTTGCGCGCCGACAGAGGAAAACACAATTGTCACCGTACTTTCGGTAAGGGCACTTTCCTAAAAAAAAATAAACAAGCCGTCATTTTTAGGGACGACTTGTCATTTATCTGTTCGAAATGACGGAGGCTAATCAGAAGAAATACGAGGAGAATCTGCATATATTTGCTTCAAAGCAATGTGTCTTTAGATTATTTGGATCCGACATGAAACGAGTACGTACTTCTGAATTATTCAAGTCATTCCTTAGAATAATTTACGTTATTTTAGATTCAAATGTGTCAAGGCGCATCGGCCCTGCTCCCACCCAACTTTGTGTATGGATTTTGGCATCCGTTTGATTCAATCATTCATACCACCAAAGTCGTAATCCAAGAAAAATAGTAAAAAAAAAAAGAAAATAATTTATGTTATAATTATCATTTTTCAGTGTTCACCATATTGAATCCGAGGTTGTGCATGAGAAGAAGCTGCCGTCTCCAGAAAATTCCGAATTGAATAATGTGTATGTGAATGAGTATAACGCGCAGTCCTCAAAAAATGGCGATTTGAATGAGAGCAATATTGGGCAAAACGACGAGCCGATTGACATGGATATTAATGAATCTGAAGAAATAAGCGATGAAGAAGCAATGCAGTGTTCTGAAGTTGATGAATCGGTTGAAATGGATGATGACATTTCAACGAGAGAGCCAGAAGCTATGGAAACACGACGGAGGGCGGCCAAAAATACGCGAATCGTTCGTGTTCGATCGCAAAGGGAATTTTTCGACAACAGTGAGCGCAGAATGAAAAAGCCAAAAAGTACTGCAACTCGGGGTAGACGAGCTGTTGCCAGGCGTAGTAATGGTAACACACGCAAGATGGTCCCCGAAATAACTAAAGAAATCCAATGAACCCGGCATGCAAACCGAAAATACGAATTGTACGTGATTGCATTGCGAAAAATGACGAATTCGACAATTTTACCAACACTGAATAGATCCATAAAGGAGTTTTTTTTTTAAATATTTTCCTTTAAAATATTTTTTGTATAATTTTACTATTAATTGTTTTACAACATCTGAGGACTTTGTGAAAAATATTATCAATTTTATGAACTCTACTGTGTTTGACACTTTTTTTCATGGTTTCCTTTTAAGATTATCCTTTTTATACAGTTGCATTAAAAAAAAAAAACTTACCCTACCAAGATTTTCATAATATCTCTTACGAATACATTTCGATTCTCATCACAGTATTTTTTTGTTGTATTCTTTTTAAATTATTTGACAAATTTAAATCTCACCCCCCATTTCTATTTTCATTTGCTTCAAATGACATGCTTCAACTTTTTTATTATATATGGAAACGAAACAATTATTTACGTTTTTTTTGTAATTAAATGACGGTTTGTTTTTAATAATATATTGGCCACATTTTGATAAGCGTATTAATATAATTCCCATTATGTCCTATTTTTATGCTATTCCCAATTAATTGCACTTTTAGCTCGTTATCAAATTTCTAAACATAAAGAAATGATCGTTTGCAATACCAAAGAATTTCGAAGGGAATGAGACTTTTGAAGATCTGTTCAGCTTCGACCATGAAAGACCATCGCATAGTATGCAAAAGCTTTATTACTCTTTACAAGAAGAATTAGTAGTTTTCGTAAAACCGGTTCATAGCTTAAAGCACGATAGAAAATTCAATATGAATTACAGAAGTCTTTACATGTCGTTTTCATCAATTCTGTAATATGAGATCATATACTTTAAAAGTATTTTGCTTTGGCTATTACACAATAGTTGGAACAATTCCTGGAGCACCATCCATAGTTTCGGTAACATTTCTACTTCGTCTCAATCCACGCCTTGGGTTAATTCGCTTATTTGTTGCATCCTTCCTAATTGGACTTCGAATGACGTACCTGTATTATTTTTTTCAAACAATGCTATAGCAAATCGAAATAATACACAATGTCTCTTGCTTCCAAAACGAGATCTGGAGCTGGATTGATAATGACGTACGAGATGTATGCCATGTCGTCACCTCCCTCGATAACTGAAAAATGAATACATTGAGGATTTGCATTTCATTATTTTTGTGACAACGCAAATGGCTGCATAAAAACGTGTTAAAGGCCAAAACGGTGTAAAGCAATTACTATCATCACTACTGTACCTTCAAGATCATGACTATGTGCTCTTGGTGCTGTAAAGTTTTTGAAGAGTGCAGAGCGATCAAAAGTCACTTACGTGTATTTGATTCCTTGATTCCCAAAATTCTCATTCGATTTTTGACATGATCGTACATATCTTTGTTGCGTTCCATCTCCGAAAGTTCATAATCCTTGCATTGCTCTTTAAGATCAAGGGAAACCTAAACACTGCTGTTTATTTCGGATGTTTTCAAAACTTCTATGCCGTTTTCGCGTCCATTCGTTTAGTTCTAAAAATTCCGATTGGGATATCTGCCACAGACGAGCAAAGTTTTTGATACAAACGACCATAGTTCTTGATCCACAAGTCTTCTTCCGTGATGACAAACTGAAATATCAATCTGAACCCATTAACATGATCGAATATATCTCACCGATGTCAAATATCCTCCACCGCTTGTTTGATCAATTCCTAACAAGAGACGTACCAAATCGACCACAAACGGTTTGATCATAGCCTGAATAATATTTAAATATGTTTAAACTAATATAATAAGCAATGATAACCTGATAGAGTAATCTGTCCATCATGTTCGCACTGAATACTCCACCTTGGGCAAAAGGTAAGCGGAACATAAAGGGCATATGCGATCCGCGTTTTCGCTCTTTCTTTTCGAATCTTGATTGTGCTAATGAATATGCGTTGTTGGGATTAAACTGCACGAATCTCATATTGGTTGCATGTGTAAGTTCAGTAATCATTCGAAGACGTGGGAACATTCTGTAAAAATGGTAGCATTCAATTACTTTTAAAAATATGACTTACCTATGAATTTTCTGCACAGTGATAATTGTGCTGCAATCAGCGAAATGCTCCTCAGCGAGCACTGCAGTTTCCTTAACCACGACAACGTGCTCAGCGTTACTAACTCCAGCGCGTAAAAGACAATCAAGGCTGAAATTACTGATTTAATTCAAAATTAAACGGAATTATGAACTCACTTTCCGATTTTTCCTTTCATCCAATAGATATCAGGGAAATATGCAATAGCATCAAGGAAAGCGGGATTGAGCGAATCTTCTTCAGAAAGTTCCAATAGAAGAATAATTGGATGAAGATCATGCACTGGACGATAATAAGCTCTTAGTGGAATCACTAGATTGTACATTCCACTACTAGTTTTGTCAGCAGCAAGAATGATTGGCCGATTGCGCCATTGATATTCATGGGCTGCCGTTGCAGATTTGTGCGCACATTTCTAAATTTTTCATTTCAGAATTCTACAAAGCTTCCATATCAAACCTGATCAAGTTTCAAGCAACATAAATTTCGTTTCTCTTTCATCATATGACATACTGTATTTGAAGTACCAATGTAGGTTCTAACTTGTGGGTAAGATCGTTGAAGTCTGTAAACCAATTCAGTCATACTCCTCGCCATCTTTCAGAAATCTACTTGTGTTGTATACACACTCCTCTGCACTTTTCGCAATATTCCTCTGTGTCAGAATCCGAAGAACTTTCAAGCTTTCCTTCCGTCACCATTGCGATTGATGGTCGCCTACTTGATTGCACCTGATCCCCAACTTCAATAAGATTAATCTCATCGCCAGCCTTTTCCTTCTTCTTTTTCTTGCGTTTATTGAGCTCTGTTTTGCCAACAGTTGGCATATCCATTGCCACGGAACCTATAAAAAAACGTCTCATTTGATTTCCGATGATAAATAATCGCACCGATATTTGCAATTGTTGATGCAACATTTGCACGTCTTTGCTGATTTCGCAAATCTTTGCGGAAGTCGAACAAAGATTCCTCGTTCGTCAGACCCATGTAGTACACAATATCATTTGGTTTGATGATATGATTCAAGCCAGGATTCATTTTCATTTGAGAAGTGTCGCCATCGGGACTAACCGCAATCAAACCAATACCATATCTGGAATTGAAAATAAATTTTACGTAAAGAAAACCCCAACGTCGGGCTCTTACGCTTTGTGAGCATGGAAACTGGTATAACTGAAAGATTTGTCGACAAAATCACCAAAGAATTTGCTATCCATCACTTTAATTTGATACATTTCATTGCCCGAATGGAAGCCATAAACCTTGTGCCAAGGTTCTGTCGATTTTTGTCCTTCCCTAAAAGCATGAAGTCGCTATTTCATTGGACAAAATGTTGCTCATACTCTCCACGCGAAGTGTGCATGAGCAATGTGATAAATGTCGAAATTCCGGGACAAATGCAATTATTTGCGAGTAGTGCATATTTGAATTCGTCTTCACATATTAGTACTTCAGCGTGTTCAATGTGCATTTTTGTCTCAGCTCGGAAGATTTGAACGTATTGTTTTACGTTGGGCGCAAAATCCTTGATTGCCCATGAACGCAGAATTGTGTGCTCATCCTTAAAGAAGCAAACATTTAATTACAGCTTCAAAATGTGAAATGGCGTACGGTTGTGACTTTGCGATTCACATGCCGAGCGGAAAGAACGAAACAAGCTTTTGCATTTGCAACTTTAGCTCTTTCCAAATCTTCATCACGTAGAGAGCTACCGCGAACATAATGAACACGATTATTCCATAGTGGAATCTTCAGAAGCATTCGTGTTTGATTATCCAACTCTGCTGGTGAGAGTAGAACAACTTGAACACGCTGTTGAAAATTATGAAAGAAATTATATGGAAAACAAAATGCGAATTGTACCTGATTTTCTGGATGTGCATAGAATTCCTCCAAGAAATCGCGAATGAACTCAACTTCCAAGAATGTGATTGTCACGACAACATGCTCCTCAACGCCTCCACTCCATCCGCCAAAATCTGTACCAGACTTCTGGCGCTCTGACCACGTTTGACCAAGTTCTTCAAGCTGAATCACACAATACATAATTTCTTCAAATTTTGAGGTACTTGTTTTGGAATCAATCCCAATGCGACACAGATCAATATGACCACGCACAGCTGCGACATCCAGTAATCAGGATACCAATCTCCATATCCCACTGTTGAAAAGGTCACCATGACAAAGTAAAAGGATGAAAACAAGTCGATTCTTTTTCCGCGTGCTCTTTGCAAATGCTCAATACTGCACATCCCTGAAATAATTTAAAATAAACTATAATACTCATTAAAATTTTACCAGTGAAGATGAGACAAATCAGAACAGAGAACAATAGAAGAAGTTGACGAAACAATGCAGATGAGCTAATGAATGAGCTTCGATTGAGATCGTTCTGCAATAAATCGGCTCAAATTGTAAGCTGAAAAATTGTTTCACCATCATTGCTTGAAGTGCACCTTTGGCGAGCCAGCAATTCAAAAATACCGGTACGAACAAATTTCGAAGGCTTGGTATGAAAATCTAAATAAATGATTGTCAGAATATTCAATTCGCTGTAATTACCGATAAAATGAATGGGAAACTTGTGACCAATTCGAGAAGGAAATGAATATTAACCAAGAGACGAACCACACTACCCTAAAAATAAAGAAATGAAAATTGCAGAAATTATTTTCAGATTCTTACTGAATAGCTCAAGTAGAAAATCAAAACTGTTTCAGCCATACTGATTGTGGCTACAATTGTTTGAATAAGCCATGTTTCACGATCGAAGTCTACCCATAACAAGTAATCGCTGAAAACATTATGAGCGAATTACATCGATCTCAGAAAAACCCTACTAAATGGTGATGGTCTCATCAACTTCCACCTTGTTGGTATATGGGAATGGCTTTGGATATTGGCGTGAATCATTAACCACACGAACGCAGTAGATGATGCAGGATAGAAGTTTAATGAAGACGTTGAAGAGGCGAATTCGCAGACCTGACAAAGAATTAATAAAATTTTTAAATGTTTAATTAATATTATAAATATTTTTCATAACTCGGAAGAGTGAATCAAATGATTGAATTAAAAATAGTTCAAAACTTTTTTTGCCGTGGTCTAACTTTTTTAATTTTGGGGACTAACAATTGCAACGCGGTCATTTCTGCCGCATAATATTAAAATTGCCATTTTTTTTTACTATATTCAAATAATCATTATTTGAAAACCGCTTTCTGGAAGTGAATGAAACCTACTTGATTTTTGATTCTCGATGAAGTATTGCTGCAGTCTTGACTTGAAGCTTGTCTCGACACCATATTGCATACGAGCACTGAAAAATTTAATTGCTATTATAACATAGTACAAATAATAAAGTCAAATATACTTACTCTGACATCTTATCTGTTTTTATATTTTTATTTACTTCTCATTTTCAAAAAAAAAAAACGGCGTCCTCGAAAATGATGAATGTTGTGGATAAGCCAGCTTTCTTTTGAATTCTCATGGAAATGATAGTTGCGCGAAAAAAGAAGAACAAATGCAACAGAATATTTATGACTATAATATTATGCCTTTCATCTTATGTGCTGCTTAAATTCAAAATTCATACGTACATTTATTCGTTTTTTTTTTTCTTAAGAAGCTCAGTTTAAAAAAAATTGAATTTTTGCTAGTGAATTGTTGAAAAACATACACGAATGAACGGAGAGATTTGCGGACCTCTGCCATACTACAATGCCATTTTTTTCGACAAACAGAAAAAAATGAATTTTCTCTTTTTTCTTTGTTTTTTCCGCCGGTTTCTCACGAAGCGAATCGAAGAAAACCGATATAAGTGTATTGAATTGGGTTGACAGCAGGAAGGGAGAAAATGAAGAAGACGAGAAAAGGATGAAGAAGCATCATCAGTCACATACCAATTTCGCTACGTCCACGAAATTTTTTGTCCGAAGCGCAATGCGAAAAGACAATTATATTATAGGGTGTGTATGGTGTAGCACGCCAAAACAAAACGTACACTTTGGGATGACGATCGCAATCATTATCTTTCCAGGTGCAATTCTCTTCGCACATCAAATGTTTGGTTCGCACAGACAAGTAATAATATGTCGTCACAAATTTGATAAAAGGGCAAAGGCGAGTTCAGGTTGTCGCTAAATAAATAAACGCACCACCGCGAGCAGGAGTTCATGTATTGAAAAATATTCGGAATCGGTTTTTGCGGAAACTTTATTTGTTCGAGACGCCGCTTAAATAAAGAAGCAAGTGTGAATTTTGTAGTTCACCAACTTACCCTTAGATAATCTAGTTAGATAGAAAATATAGTTCATTATTTATATTCTAGCTCAGCTGTTATCAACATTATCACATATTTGTCGTCTCAAAGCTTCATCATGAATTATATATAATAAATATCTCTCTTTGTTAAAATATCATGTTCCTATAGCGGTTGCGCAATATCAAATTTCAACATATTTATTTTGTGTGATCTACGAACAAAAATGTGGTTTTTGTGCATTGCTTTGTCTTTGTGAACATAAAATTCTAAAATTATCTCCTCACTTTTTTTGCGAAATATCATATTTTTTTAATGTATCATTAGTATTAATTTCAGTGCTGAATCTATCTTACTTTGCCAATTTTTCTAATGATTAATTATCACTGATTTAGCGAATTATTAGGATATTAAAAAAAGGTTATACAAATTTGGTTTCAAAACAATTTTGAATTTTAATGAAACTAATTAGTGAACAATTTTTCCGTACTCTAAAATCAAATGCACATATTGCTTCCCGAAACAAAAAAAATCCACGAAATATTCTCGGATTTCTCGTGTCAATTTTCCAATGCTTTCCCCGGAAATAATTATTACGAAAGACAATGAAATTTACATGCGCTGACACTGAGAGAGCATATAGATATGAAGAGAATGAAAAGATAATTTGTTTTCGTTGAAATCTATGAACATAATCGGTTTGAGAATTTTTTGGCTATCTCCAGAAGTTGTTAAAAGTCGTTAAAATTAAAACCATAATTAAGGACGAAACGCACATGTTAAATTATTCATTCCATTTCTCATGAAAAATGGGTCATTTCAGTTTCTTAACGGGACCTCATCATCCTCCGTTATTGCGTTCTAATATGAGCTTTTCCCCCATGTGTGTGACAAACATTACATTGTATCGGCAATTTGCTGTTGGCTTGCCGCCGGTGATATTCCATTTGTCGATGTTTTCCTGCTCGGAATCAGCTCGTTTAATCGATTATCCTCGGAATTCATGAATTTCTCATATGCTTAAACATAAAGCGGTTAGTTGCAATTAGTCACCTAGTATGGTCAATTGAGCAAAAGAGCAAAAAAAAGCAAGGGGAGAGGAAGACATAGTATGCGGGAAATGCGAAATATAAGAACAATAAAATTGCGGACTCACTAGTTTTGACGTCTCCGCTGCGATGAGGTGCATAATAATGCACCAGTTTTGGATTTGATAGCTTTCATCCAGGCAAAACGTGTGAAAACACCTGGCGTTTTGCTTGCAAGTGCAAAATGAAGAACGCGGAATTAAAAAATGCGGCTCGCGACACTTTACAACGAAGATGGATAGAAATGTGTTCGTCCTAGTTCGAAACAGGTGCCGTTCCAATGAAGCGAAAAAATAACAAGGAAAAAAAGTTTAAGAAATTGCGGGCGCAAAATGATACACGAAATATTTGCACACTGCGAAGAGATGAAAGAGATATTGAATAAATTATAGCATTTGTTGTTTGCCTTCAGGGGATAATGCGATTTAGCCGTTTGTTTCCAAATCTTTTGGCAAGCGGGTGAGCCGATGTTTGGCGGCTATCCGAGAGAAAATTATTTTTTCAAATACAAATTTAATCTATCATAGGGATTATAATTTTTTCAAATTTTGCGCCCAATAGTTCTCTAAATTCTCTATTGAGGATGCTATGCGACTGTCTAGAATAGGTTCAAAGAGTAACAAAACAATTTTAATTCAAAAATTCAGAATTGAACCATTATTTTTTCTTTAACCAACAATTATTCGCAAACTACAAACTACAGTTCAAATTATTATGGTTACATGGTAATAAATTATTTAATACAAGGAAGATAAAATTTTTTTAAAATGAACTGTTAATGATAGATTGCGAAAGTGATCAGTTTATTAATGATACAATACAAACCTACTGTCAATAATCTGTCTGTTGAATTTATATTTCGGGATAGCGCAAATAGTGATCGTGAAGATTTTCAATTTACATTTCACGGATTTAAAATAAAATCGAGACCAATTAAAGTTCAAAGTTATAGACAAGTTAATGGCTGATATATGCAAGTGGAGTATAAATAAAGCATCGACGGAATACAGAAATTCTCATGAAATATAAAATTCAATTGAGTATCGTGTCGCGATGTGAATTTAAATTGAAAATTAGTGCAGAAATGCGGAAGCCGCTTTTTTTTTCCAATTTTGCGATCTACTTCCACAACAAAACAAAAACGCAAAAAAAATTCAGATCGAATGTTAATTAAGAGCCGAGAAAAAAAAATGAAAAATCTGCGGCTCGTGGCCGACAACATTATTCAACAAAAGAAAGGCTGAATAGCATATTTATAAAGATCCGGACCGCTCTTCTAAATGCTCCCTATGGAAAAATTAACAAGAGACGGAAAAGAAGAGAGTGGAGGAATAAAAAATAAAGTTGAAAATCAGGCAAAAAATCTATGCAAATAAATCTCACGCATATGTAGTGAAAAGTGCAACATGTGGATAATAGACTTGGCGCAGAAAAACTTTTTTTTGGCCATGGGTTAAATATGTGATTGACTGCGGGTTTCCGGAACTTGGAGCAACTTGGAGCGATGAATGTAAAATCGAAGAGTGTTTTGCCGAAAAGCGACACATCTCAAGAGAGAAATTCGTTTTATTAATGCAGACGTAGTTTTGGTTTGTATGTTAGGTCTTTCATTACTCAATATACCAGTGGCAGATGAATATAGAAATAATGCTAATCCCTCAAGTGTTTCATGCTTTACAATTAATTATGCGAAACTCACGTTTCACTTGGACGGATAAGGTCCGCTAAATGGGTGACTGATTGCTTGAAATCATCGAATGAAGACGATGGAGGTAGATCATTGACAAGAGATGCATAGGAGTTTTTAAATACAGTCCCTTCAGCCTCCGAGTCGACATGAGTCATATCTGGAAGACAGACAGTTATTTTCAATGCTATACTTCATTTCATTTAAAAATTTGTTTCATCAACGTTTATTTTTTAATATTAAATACTTTTATCACTGTATTTATGGAGTCATATTCCCGCGGTTTTCAGGTGTTCTTATTTCAGTTGACGCTGATGTATCGTTTCTAATAGCAACCTCATTTCATTTTAGCCGCGAGCGTTATTATTAGAAACCAAAAGAACAAATGAGCTTGTTCTTTGAAAATGTTGAACTTTTGATATTCATTAAAAAACATATTCAGAAAGAAAGAGACATTTGTAATACAATACGTATATGTAAAGGGTTTTCGGTGTTTTATTTTCAATACCTAACTGAAACTGAAACTGAAAATTAATGAGGAGTTTTTAACACGTTTTTTGGATAATAGAATAAAAACAACAAAATATCGTGTGATCTGATACTTTTCAAAGATCTATTGGAAATTATCAAAGGAATTATGGGATTCATTATTTAAAAAAATGGCAGGTAATTTTTCCCCAAATGTATATCACAAAATTTATTAGATTCGATGCAAATGAATTTTTAAAAATTTGGTATTTCTTGCTTGAAATGATGGTTAAAATGAGAGCAATGCTTTCAATTTGTGGTTTTTTGTTAGTAAAACAGATTAAACTCAAATAGCCACTTAACGTGATTGCTTAGAGTTATTATCTTGCTATTAACAAAATGCAAAACATATTTCCAAGCAGTTCGAGTTTGGAGAAGAAATATAAACTTATTTGTGACACACTAATGAAAGTAAATTGCGGTTTTGGTTTGCGAAAAAAGAGCAACAAGTCGAGGACCGGAAATCTTATGTTAGAGTAATGCAGAAAATAGAAAAAAAAGAAAACTTCAATGTAAAATTTTTTTCTTTTTTTTTCATTTTTGGTCTACATTGGTTCTTAAATGATTTTGATTGTTTCGACGCAATAAGCGATATATAAATTTACACACATACGCAATTTCACACGCGTTTAATTGAAATTAATAAATAAAAGATTGAATGCAATCATTAATATACACAATTTTTTTATTTTAAAAATTAATTATCGATTTTTTAAAAGAAATTTGACTATTAAAAAAATACGCGCGTTATTTAATGATTGCAATAAAATTTAGAATCAAAATAACCCTTTAGTATATTTTTAATAAGGTCGTCGCGGACAAGCATTTCGTATTAGAAAAACGTCGGACAAAAAATAACCTTATCTCAACACTTTCTTTTTGCGATGTACAATTTGCCCGTTTGACTTTTCGCAAATAACCTCATAGTATAGAGAATTTACAAAACACTGCAACTCTTTTGGGAATTTGAGAAAAGAAACGGGATTTCAAACTGATTCGATAAAAAAATGATTCGATACGTTATGCTGTTTTCAAAAATAAAGTCAATTTCATTCTAGATTTCTTAACACATTTGTTTCTGCTTATATGAATATGATAATATTCAAAATACTGTAAAACAAACCCTCATCGTCGAAATAACTTTCAAGAGACGGAACTTTTTCGGAACTGGTATTAGTCTTCATAATATAGAAAATACGAGTTGAGCCGGGAAAAAAGTTGGAAAATGAGGCAAAAAGAAACAGAAGACAATTTTCTTGGAAGCGTAACCCATTTATTTCCAACCTACCTAAAAGCGGCAAATAAGGCATTTTCGTTTATGGCATCAGTATGATAGTAAATATTGATTTGTTGAAAGCACACATTTAAGCGAGAATAAATATTGCCCAATTTTTGAACCCCACGCCGTTCACCGCACTTTTCAAACATCAAGCAATTCTTAATGCATTCGTGAGATAAAAATAAATTGCTCGTTCGAAGCAGCAACAACTTACTCTTCGACAATAGCACACGCTTCTCACTATCGTTATGTTTGCTCTGAAAGTATTATATGCTCGAATATAAAATTAAAAGCAAACATTTCACCTTCATTTTGCTCATTCGATTGGCATTTCTTGGCTTTGATCCTTCTCTAAGATTTAATTACTGCGTAAATCTCCTGCTCATTAAAAACGGATTAAATAAAGAGAGGCGGTTGAAAGGAATGGTTTCGAAACAAAAACAAAAGCAAAACGTGTCAAAACTGAGACGAAGAAAACATATAAATCGTGAAAAATGGGCGCGGCATTAGTTTTGTTTCATCTTTTACTTTCTTTGGAGCTTCTATTAAGAACATGCGACAACAAATGTTAAAGTTGGAAGAGATATTGAATTTCACTTTTTTGCAAGCATCAAGATGTTTTGAGATTTGCCACAATAAATTTTTGCCTTGAAACCAACAATTTTCAAGCCAACTTTGAAATGTCCATGTCACTTTTTTATTGGTTTTCAATTTATTGCGCAACTTTTCGCGGAAATTTTTCTTTATCGAAATTGCAAAATTATTTCGATCGGATGACTCCAATAATTATTGCTTTTGAGAAAATTGTTTGCCTCACTCTAAATTCGATTATTTCCTATTATGAAATATAATGCATCTGTTAATGTTTCGTTAAAAAACAATTAATTTGGCGAAATTATATATGGAAATCTTAAAACACACACCCTTACACACCAAAAATAAAACTCATCAAACACGATAATTTTGTTTGAAAATGGGAGGGAAATGCATAAAAGTGAAGGCCATTAAAGCGAACTGGCTAACTTTTCAGAGCAATCTAACCAATAAAATCTAAAATGTATGGAAAAGCTAGGAGTTATTTCTAGCTTTTTTTTTGGTTTTCTAAAACTTGAACGATCGATGAGCATTTATTTTACGACATAATATTGATACATAAATTGATAGCTAGAACCCGGTAAACTGTTTGAGGAACGTAATCACAAAAGCGAACATCGATGTTGGGGTAGGTTATGACATGAATTATACAAAAAAACATAACAATACGAACTAAATAAAGCCAATAAAATTGAGTAACGATATCGAAACACTACGAACTACGTTTGGCCGGAAATGGCATGGTTTGTACTACAACCCGTTGACGTGGTTCAACGGAAATTTACAAGTTTAGGCAAGAAATTTGTTTTCGGCGACGTCTTTTGCCGAGGGCCGCTTGGATGCGTCGATATTCGTCAGTTGAAGCATGAAATCCTTCTGAAATTTTTAATAAAGCATTCGATTTTATAAAGAAATGCTAAATATTTTTGAAACATTTTTTTCAGTCTTATAGTTGGCGTCCGGCGACTGCTGTACGCGGGTAGATTTACGGGTATGCGTCTTTCGAAATGGTCCCGCAAGGACTAACAGGTTATTTAAAATTTTTTGGGTCGATTCGATAATTTTTTAATATAAAAAATAAATAATGCCGATTAGTTAAAGAAGCTAACCTCCTTTGGATAATCTTTGAGAATGGGTGGTTCTGTTCCATTCTGATACGCTGTGAACGTATCAATTCGTTCCATCGCTGTTGCAAAAGGAATGATGAGCTCAGTCGCAACAAGTCCCAACGCGAAAATGTCAATTTTTTCCGAGTAGCTGGCATTATTCAGCTGCAAAAAGGAAAACACAATGTCTCAACTACGATCTTTTTCGCAAAAGATACCTGCTCTGGTGACATGTAAGATCGAGTTCCAACATTCCTTGTATGTTTCGAATTGGATGCGATTTGCCCAGAATTGATCAATGATTTTCCTTTGTTGTTTGTTGCTAATCCAAGATCTCCGATTTTTAAAATTTTCTTTTCTGGCTTTGAGTCCGATGAGAAGAATATATTTCCGGGCTGAAAATTAGGTGATAACAGAAATATTGTCTCATTTCCTACCTTGAGGTCTCGATGAATGAACCCTTTGTCATGAAGATATTCCAGAGCTTCAGCGAGCTGCTTTATCCAATTCTTCATGACAGACAACGTCCTACTTTCTTCCGTTGAGTTTTTCCGAATCCAATCTTCCAGTGTTCGCTCATCGCAAAGTTGCATGACAATATAAAGATAAGCGCAGTCACCAGGACTCGACGTTTCGCGCAATTCGAGCTCATTGTTCTCAGTTGCAACTATTATCGCCTAAAGTATCAACAGTAGTAAAAAGAAATTATAATATAATAAATTCAATCTAATTGATATCAATTGGCAAATTTTAGCATATTTTCAAAGAGCGCATTTTTTTACAATCGTTTACCGTTAAATCGTACAACGTCGCTCTATGATACCAACGTTTTAACAGTTTTCACGTATTCATAAGATACACACGAAATGAAAGAATAGACATGCAAAACCTCAGAAAACTAACGCATATTCAGAATTTGGATTTGATCAACGAAAAAATAGTTTTGCGATAAAACAATGAAACGTATTCATGCCTAACTTTTGTAAGCTGTACCTTATTATGTAGCGAGATATCTGAGCTGATTTTGTTTGGAGAATTTTTTCCATCACCCTCTTCAACGAACTCGATAAGTCCAGAAGATGATGAACTTTGTTGTCGCTCGTTGCCATCTTCCTCATCGTCGTCACTCGAATCGGATGATGACGATGACTCATGAACCCGATTCGCTCCAGAATTTGAATCCCAAACAATCGACTCAGACTTGTCAGTCGTTCCAGCCAATCCTCTTCGATTTTCCGAAGTGGTATGTTGTGCTTGTGTCGAGTTTTTCTTATCGCTAACATTCCAGCTGTTATTTTCCGTGTTCCCAACCACAGCAGGCATTTCGAACGTCTCGGCAAACGAATTCGTCGGAGATTGGGCGTTTGACTGAACATTATTCCTCTTTTTCTTTTTAATTCCGTGAATCTTCTTTAATTTCTCGGCCTTTATTTTTCCAAGAAGTTTCTCATCTTCCTGCTCTTGGAATCCTTTTGGAGGTCGCTCTTCCCATGAGAAGAAATATCGAATTATTCCCGGGTGATCAAAACGAGCCAATGCTCGTGCTTCTCTTAGAACTTTGTTTCGTGCTTTTTCACTGAAATAAAATAATTATATATAATTCCAAACCGACAATATTTTACTTATCCGCGACTGCAATCCTCTTAACTGCATAGTCAGTGGTATCAGTGAGACAAGTCGCACGAAAAACCACTCCGAATCCCCCATGACCAATGACTTTCTTGACTTCGAATTCGGCGGCGAATCTGCTGGTGAAACCTTCCAAACTAGTCCGAGAAATGGTTCGATTTCGCAGCAGCTTCTTCTTGTTTTCTTCATCTTGGGAATACTCGGTTTCGACGGAAGTTTCAGCCTTGATATTATCATCTTTCGCCTTGAAATTTGGAGAAGCTTGAGATGGAAAGGTAATTTGACGAAGAGGCTGAAACATCGAAGATGATTCAAACTGATCATTGTAGATATGAGTACTTCTCTCCGTAAATAAGCGTTAGGTTCTGATTTTGCTTCTTCATATTTTGCTATTACATTCTCGATGATTGCTGATGAATGAACACTAGATGACTGAAACGGGACTTGATCGTTAATTCAATATGAGTTAATCCAACCTCCAAAGACTCATCGCAAGAGGATTCCGTTCTTTGTTTGACCAATGCGCGCAATTTGCGTCGTCTTGCAAAAGTGTACACTGCTCCAACAATTCCACTTATCAGAAATGCCCAAAAGTGTTTGAAGTACGATGAGATATTGCTCATTATTTTAACCGGGAGTGGCGGGTTGCCGACTATTGGCTTGCAACTTTGACTGTCCAGAACCAAAAACCCTTGGTCGCCATCTTTCAGCAGCGACGTTGTACGGAAATTTCCAAGCCCGATAAGGGCAACACCAGGCTTCTGACTGCCAAAGCATCGGTTCTCATTCAGATTTTCATCGTTGTGAGCAACGATTGTCAGCGTTTTCCTTTGGTTTCGGCTTGATTTGTCCTCTATCATTTTACTATGCGATTTACCAAAGGCGTTACGCAGCACAACAACTGAAACAACAAGATTATAATAGGAAATAATTTTTTAAATGTATAAATTAAAAAATAAACGCACGAAGAGCAGTATCTTCTACTTCATATGTAATTCCTTGTTGCTCAGAATTCGCCGAGCACAATTTTGGTCCTGCTATTTCTTTGAGCATGTCAAATTCATTAACATCCTTCATCTTGTTCTTCAAATTTTGTTTTGACTTTGGGCTTTGAATAATGAACGGGTATCCATTAGAGGTTCCCATATAGAACAATGATGTTTGTTCCGGTAGATTGTGATGCAACCGATGGCCAACTTCCATTTGTGTGGTGAACATGTTTCGCGGATCAAACAATGAAATCTGTGGAAATCGTTTCTTGCAAAAATAGTTGATATTTCTTTGACAGTACCTCTCTAATGGTGTTCCCATAAACATGCCAGACGTTAACAAGATGCCCCCCAACATTCGCTGTCCATTCCTCATCACCATATCTAGTTGTGGCAGTGATTATGCCTTCAGGAGGCCGTAGAAGGAATTTCGCTTTTGGAAGGTTTAGATGCGTCATTCCAATTCCAGCAAGACTCAGGTTCAATTCAGCAGTGGAAAGATTCCAGCGCTCTGTGCCTTCTAATGAATCCATAGCGCGAATTGAGTTTGAAATCCGCTTAACCAAAAGAGTTGGATATTCGCTGTAGCCTTGCTGCTCATTTGCACATGAATCGGGTGAGCATTTGTAACGAATCTGAAAATATTTCAAGCATATTAAACAACTGGAATAAATTTTCATACCTCTCCAGTGACCACATTAATTCCAGTAGTTGTAACGCTTTTACCGCCTGCAACAGCATCTCTTCCAAGTCGAACAGTTGACTGAAATTTGAATATTTAACAAATAACTATCTTATTAATTTCATTTAATATTATTCAGCTCTTGCAATAATTTGAACCGAACACTAGTTACCTAGTTGAAAAAAGTATTATGTTATAGTAGTAATGCAATTTTTGGCAGTAATTCACATCATTATATCAAGTTGGCCAAGTTTTCTGCTGTCACATGACTTGTCACTTATATGCTAAAAATGGCGTGATCTTTCAATGAAAAATTCGAAAAGAAGATATTTGGACCAATTATTTCTAATTACTCAATATTGTCGTCAAAATTGAATGATACCTCAAGAAGAGATTCAGTTGTGATTGGCAATGGTTCGATGAGATTTGATTGATGTGCATAGGAGAACAACCTTCCATCTAATGTTGGCATCAACTGAAGACTCGTTCCTCCAACCTCGATAGGCTGAATTGAAAGAATGATAACTAGAAATTAAAAAAAAGATTCAAACCCCAGCCAAGCTGAGTGTCCCATCCAAAAGAGGAGAATCGCGATGAACCCATAGAAGCTCGCCAGTTTCTCCATCGAGCGCGGTGAGAATTCCATTTAAAGTTGAAGCAATTACGATGTTCAAATATTTATCTCGGCCTGCACATTTCACGCCACCAGTTGAGCTATAGCCATTCTGAAAATCACAAAATCATGACGATTCAACAAAAGATAAAACTATTGACTTACTTCGTTGAATGGCTCATCTGTGATTATTTCAATGGTTTCCTCGAGTTGTTGTTCATTCGTATAAGGAACGAGTGCCATCGAAATGATAAACGCAGCTAAAACTACATACTTTACAAGCATTGTGAATCTTCTGGCATCTCCTCCTGCAATTTGCATTCAAAAAATTCGCTGGATTGATAATTAAAATAATGAAAAAACGTGGCGAAATTTTTTTTCAATCAAATTTTTAAACTGGCCACGAAGCACGTGTTTTAATTTGAACAATGTCGAATGGACAACGATGAGGTAAATGTTTGTATGCCTCTACTCTCGCAATCGAGCGCGTTTTCTCATCGCGTCGCTCTTCTCTAATGATCCAGTTTTTAGGCAACGTTTGCTAACATATTTTGATTTGAATGGAATATATTTGAATATTTCAATACCATTCAGCGAAAATTGAATGAAAATTGCGGACAAAAAGCCAGTGAAGCAAAATCAATGAAATAGATAATGCACAACAGAGAATTTGGTGCAAATGATGCAAACGCAGGAAATTTCGCGAAAATATCACTCTACCTTCTCGTTGAACATGAACTGAATGTGAAATTTAAAAATTGTAATAAAAAATGAAATGAATTCAAATGATAAGGAATTTTTAATATTTTCGTCAAACAAACTTCTTTTTACACCTGAAGAACTCATTGGAATGAATGTTGAAACATAAAAAAAGGAGAACTAAAAATTTTAACAAACACATTCGAAATATTAATTGCAACAACTTTGAAAAAATTTTCTTACTGGAAAATCTTTTAATTACCCAATTGTTTTAATTGTCAATATGTAATCGTAATATTACAAAGGTAGGAAAGGCGAAAATATGTTAATGTCGATCGCATGCAAATAAAAAATAAAAAAATATAACTATTGAGTACGTACCAACACAACTGTTACCGCTGTTAAAAGGAAATTTTCTCGCGCGTATTGATTTGACCCGCAACATTTCATGACCTGTCAATTTGCTCGCACTATATCACATTAAATCTCGCCTCAACTGCTGGTGCAAATATTACACATACATCAATTTTCTTATAATGACTTAGCAAATTTTATTAAAAATACAGTCCCACTTTTAAACATTTTTACAAGATTTATTGCACATTTTCCGATTTATAAAAAAATTATTAAGCTTCACATCGGATTTCAGTAACTGTAGTAGCTGTTTGATATTTCCACGTTTTCGTCGTGAGATCGCACATTAATTGAGCTGCCGAATTCATACCAGATTGGCCACGGGCTACCTTAATTCGATTCCAATTTATTCGATTCCACCATTTTTTTCTACCTCTTGATCGTTATTTATAGTTATCCTTGTAGTTGAAGTAGAACCATCAACTCGAATGCTGCACAAAAATGTGGCGTCCATTGGACACGCATTCAATGCAGGATTGAACAAAAATCTGCCAGTTGAAGCTGAACTTACAATATCCACAGGACAACAATCTTCAAAATATGTTTTTTTAATTAATGAGAATTATCCCATACCGGCACCGATTTTTCCGGAATTTACCGTTGGCATACACATATCACCAATTTCAAATATGAAAAATAGTAGAATTGAATGAAAATGGATAGGTCGAAAACTAATAATCATTATAAGATATTTTGAAAAGAATTCTCGTTCATTGCGTATTTATACTCGATTCTCGGATCGTATTATATTTCTCGAAAAAAAGAAGACCGTTAACTAGTTGACGCGTGCCAAAGTATACATTGAATTGTTTTATGAAAAGATAATCGGGTTATAATTATCTTGCAGCAATTGCAGTGCCTTTTCTTGTTCTTCGGCATCTTCGGAAAAACTCGGCAATTCTGTAATATCGTAATTGATTGATGATTGATGCTTCACAAGAGTGCCTTGAAAATAGCATCAAACCAAAACCATTAGTGAGCACACAAAAAAGTGCCGGATAGATGTTCAGATCCTTCTCATGCGCAAATATGGCGAGAAGAAGTGTGTAAAGCATTAGTACTAATTGGAGAATTATTACGGTATAAATTCTCATTTCGAAACGATTGAGCTCGCTGAAATCAATTTCTTGTACAACTGGCAACTGCGTGGGATTTTTACCAAAAATGAACATAGAAGAATGAATAGTCACCTTGGACAACATTCAGACTGTTATGGAAATTATTCTCACAACAGCATAGAAATCCGATCATGTAGATATTCAGGTATAAGAGCATTCCAATCAAAAGACTAGATTTTCAAAATTAAATTAGATTATGTGCGATTTGCAACTCAACCTTGTTATTACTAATAGGATAGTCGGAGCAGTCATTGTTAATTTTTCCTGCATTCCGGAAAAATTAGTGATTTGCGACCAAATATGGAATGCAAATGTTCCAAGAGTCATTAGAGAGAAGAAAACTGTATACCAAATCGACATTGTGAATCGCGCAGCTGTCAAAGATTTTATCTCAAAGTCTGAAAATAATGCATGTGCAATTAATAATTAGTTGAAATCTCTACCCGATCGATAGCTTCTAGCGAATTTTGCAGAGGAATAATGCTGCAGATTAACGATTTTTAGAAGAATCGGCTTCTCGGCGTGTAATTCAATCATGTTTTGTTCTGCTACACGAAACGCTCCAATAACTCTTGGAACGGGAACCTTAGAATATTATGATATTAACATTTTCAATCTTGTTACTAACATAAATCTTATCCGGTCCTATGTGATTTGAAATATTGATGAAACAATCATCGGTTAAAATTCCTTCTCTTATTAAGTTTAATAAAGCTCGCTTTTGATGTCTGTTGAGATCATTTATATAGTCCGACACAGTTTCATCGGAAAAATCCTAAACGCCTAATTTCGATTTAATAAAATGTATGGTTATACGTTTTCATGAGAATCCAGTATATTATGCTGGGCCAGAAATGCCTCATCCGCTTCGTCTTCACCAGGAACTGAAATCGATTTTCAGTCACACATATTCTTTTTAATAAACCAACTGGAATGAATCCAGCGCATCCATTTTGGATCTAATTCTCTCAGAAATTCTGATATAGTTATGGGTACAATGACGTGATTAACAGAAAAATTTCTGAAACACTATGTGTAAGGTTATAAAAGGGGACTCACTGAATATTAATATGAAGTACGGTATCCTCCGTAAGAATTCCTTCTCGAACAGGGTTCAGCAATTTTCTGATTTCTGTCTTCGACAAACTCCGTATATATTTGAGTAGAACATCTTTCGATGAAATCAGCGCGCTCGCGTTTAAACTCAATGGAATATCGTTCATTCGCTAAGCAAAATTTAAAAAATTAGACCTACAACAAAACACAATGAATTGGAAAAATGTGTTATTGTAAGAACTCGATGCAATAATCGCATTAAATTGAATTGCGTTTGAGTTTTTTTTATTCTTATCATCAACCCATTAAATATGTGTTGCGTGCACCGTGGCTTTCATCGACTTAAAGAGTGGAATTACTGTCACAACGTTCTATTCATTGATAAATTAAGCCAATTCACACATGACAAAATGAAATAACCGTGCGACAAACCGTATTAAGAGCGATTTTTTTTTGAATTTCATAATTTATCGATTTGAGTCCTTGAATCCTTTTTTATTGAAGTTATTTAAATGTCATCATGTCGAATACCTGAGTCGCACGGAATTTCCTCTTATTTTTTTCTGTTCATTCTGGGTACTTAAAGTCGCAGATTTTTTTTGCTAATATTTAAACACTGAGATTTTAAATCACGATTTATGGGGAAAATGTTCGTTGTACTTCATGTCTGTTAAAGCTTAAAAAATGAATTATACATCGCATAGTAAAATTAATAAAATAAGTGGAAGCGTGCGACCCTGTCCGGGAATATTTTCCAAGCCGTGCTCCTTCGCAACCGGAACTGATTTTCAGACATAAAACTTCTTCTGAAAATCGGAATATGAGTTTTGATGTTTTCAATGATCAAACCTTGCGTTTGTAACAATCAGTAGAATAGAAAAAATCGCGAAAAGAACAGATAGCACGTTCATCGGTTTGGCGTCGGCAAAGATCACGTCCAATATCGCGAATGTGGGTGTTATTTAAAGGCGAATTGTGAAGGGCAAAATGTACACTTAAAAGTGGGAGGTTTCATTTGATAGGAAAAAATAGAAAAAAAAGGCGGGAATAATTCTACCAAAAGGCAACACTAAAAAATACTATGAATAAAAAGCAATAATGCGCCTCAACGTCGTGTATTCGCCAAACTTGTGATCATGATTTGAAAGAGGCATTATGTGCCTATTTACATTTCACTTCCTCGCATCCTTAATACCATGTTTATGTAGAATATTTGAATTTCACAAGAAAGCGCTGTTCGCTGAACACCGCCGGATTAAAAAACAATTTTTATTGGGGTGGGACAGTATTGCATCGCGTAATAAAATTGCATAGATTATTGAGGTACATTCAGAAGAATATTGATTATCATAATTCTGTTAGTAGAGAATTTGAATATTTAATTTAAAGTTCCGTTGAAGTTCTACTACTTCTTTGTTCGTTCACCACATAAATATATTGGCCGATTAAATGAGCAATCTCGTCAGCCTGCAAAAAAAAATTTGGTATGCATTTCGTTGTTCTAGTTCAATAACGTTTCATTACATGATTGTTGAGACTATCATTCACATAATGGTTTTAAAACTGACTGATAACACTGTACGAAAATCACGCATTTGATAACCAAAACGAGAACAAATGTTGCGATCAGGTTCAGTGATCGATTCGCAACCGGAAGCCAACCAAAACTTACATCATCCGTCTTGAATTCCAGTGTTTTTTCTTTTCCGATGTGTCCGCTTACCAAACGGACGAATTTGAAATTGGATTTCTTAACGCTTTCCACAGACAGAATCTTTAAAAAACTTAATGTATTCCTTGATCGGCAAAGCAGAAAATACCTGGTCATATCTGAATTCTTTGTATATTTCTTGTGATTTCGGTTGGAGCAAATGAACGCCGGTTTTGCCAATGGAAAGAACAACCTCAGGTATCCGATTGCCTTCTTCTACGGCAGATTTGAGCTTGTAATGAGAAACGCCAAATAAGGGCCACGTTGAAAGAAGGCCTAAAAGTACGAATATATTTACGTAATTTTGTTTTTTTAACATACTTAAGAACTGCGCCTTGATGTCAAGAACCGGCATTCTTGGATCCATTAGTCTAACTTCTCTAGTTATTCTCGCAACGGTCTCTTCTTGGATTCGATGTTTTGGATCAATAAAAGTTTTCGGAACCAAAAATGGCAAGTTCTTTCTGAAATTAAGACTGTCCTTTCTAATAGAATGTTGTATGTATTACGTGGTGACTCCTTTTGATTGATCCGGTAATAACCGGAACAACAACGCGCCAAGCCTAATTATCTCCTCAGTAGTTGCAGCGGTCAATTGAGAATGCGCATTCGTTGATACCATAGAACCACGTAGATAATCATCAATAACCTATGAACAGTTGAACTTTATAAAATAGGCGTGACTAATGATGCCTACATGATCAAAAATGGAATCAATGTAAGCAGTGTTGTCGAAACGAAGAGGATGAACCCAAACAGTTCGTCTGAAGAAGAATTGATATGGTAGCTTCTTATGCTCCATGTCAGTGATAATGTCAAGAATATAATCATCATTCTTACAGTACTGTAATCTCTTCTCTGTAAAATGACTTTAAAAACGGAGAAGTTGAGAATTTCTTGACCTTTTCCAGAACTATAGCAAAGAGAGAATTCTTGTTGTTCGGGTAGGCTTCTAACGTTTAACATCAGGCAAAGTTCTTGAATAACTTCTTCAGCAACTGTGATTGGCCGAAGGTTCAGGGCCACCGAATTTTCTTTAGTGATGAAGAATTTTTGTTTGCGGATAAGATGTCCATCCTGAATATATAAAAATCATTGAATTTCCAAAACTTTTAATTTTGAAATTGTTGTTACCGTAACGTTTTGAACTTCGAGTGCGTTAAGCAGGACTTTCCTACCACCATATTTGAACGTTTGAAGAATATTTGTCAAGCACATTTTTGCAATTCCATGGTTTGGTCGTTGCAAATCTTCAGCGTTCTCAGAAAGATATTGAAGAAGATATGGCTTCAAAGTAAGACTTGATGGGAAGTACGAAGTGACGATGAGTAATAGACGCCATCCTCGAAGAACACTGTCCGCGCTATAATGAATTCATGTTCAAATTTTGTTACCATAAAAAATGTTACTGTAATGAAGTGTTGCTTGTAGTTTGTTTGATAAGCTGACAATAAACTTCGTCACGCAATAGTGGATGTTTGTGACAAATCAGGAGAATTTTGAAGACAACGTCGGTAATCGACTCGCTCTTCTTCAGTTGTTCATCTCCCATAAATCTCATGATACCTTAATCAATTGAATAACTATAGCAATGATAATTCTTATCAATACAACTGAAAATCTCCACGGCGTGTTTATTATCTTCTGCGCTCAAATCTTTTAGCAGTGATTGTGTAATAGGTCGGCTACTGAATTTAATGGATTGTGCAATATCACCCCAAGTCCAATCCTCATCTAAATATATTAAATAACCAGACTGATATTATGTTTCAGAAACTTCTTTTTCTTTCCTTTGGCTCTCTGAAATACTTGGTTGCGAAATCAAGCATTGTATATCTTTCACTGCTAAACGGTACCTCATCCTCAAACAATTGAACATTCTCATCCTCAAATTCAATTTATATCATTTAGTGAATCACTTCTAAATTTACCCTGTCAAAATTCGAATCAAATCGAAGTGGTGGGATCGTTTCATTACTGTTCGACTCAATGTATTGTCTCAAAAGATAGCCGAAGCGATTTCCAATCTTTCCATACAGCCAATCCCCTACTGGTGGAATTTCACCATCAGGTGCTGCCAAAATTTCAATAAGATCCCCCTTATTGAAAGAAAGATGATTTGGCTCATTCGTCACGTAATCCTCCAATGCTCTAGCCAGCTGTCTTTTCTGAAAAAATAGGATGCAATGATTTATGTTCTTCATAATTAATGGGCTCCAACCGGAACGGCTCCGCCACTAATGCATTTTTCAAGTGTCGACTTGATCTGTGCAGCTTGACGGGTCTTCAATCGTAAAGTGTAATGGGAATGAACATCATTCTCAGGTTTTGTGTGGATCGTTAAAATGTCATTGGCTTCCAATGACACATCAACAATTGTCTCGAATCTAAAAAAAATTGCGTTATACTAACGTTTTTTTTAAAACAACTGACGGGAAATGATCATGAATGGTCAAAGGATTTTCAATATTATGTGGCGTGTGCAGCAGTAACCGGATTCCATGCTCAGAAATCGATAAAAGCAACCCTACTGACTCATCCGGACGAAGTTCAATGACCTTAAACATCTCAATAAGACAAGTATATGTTATTTGTTTACTTCGTATATTTGATTAAAGTACAACGGCCACAAACGAGCAGTATCAATGACTTTCATTTTAATATCAGGATGGATGTTGGTTTGTTGTTGAAGGTCACTTGGAGGTACATGATTGGCTCCTGAACAAGCACATTAAACCTTATAATTAAAAAAGGAAGGTTACGCAGGATTTCCTCGACTTGTTGTCTGTCTTGAAGGCGAATTCGGTATGGGTACGATTTTTTGCAGTCTTCAACAATTTGGGCAAACACTTGATCAATGACTTGAATGTCGTTGACAGTTTCGCCCGGGTAAAACATCTAAAATGCTTTTTTGTTTTCCATATCATTTTTTTTGTTTAAGTTTCAAACCTCTTTACGAATAGTGAGTTTCCATGGCGGCTTGACATATTTTACAGCTGGTTTTTCGGCAGTTTTCCGTTTGATAAGTGGTGTCAACGCGTCTTTGATAGTTGTTCCGCGAACACGTTCTTGAGTTGCGGGATCTCTTTCGACCATATCACGTATCACCCATTTCTCTTGAAATTGTTGAACCGGCTGTGGTTGAAGCGGTGGTGGGGGCTATAAGAAACATTGTTAGTTTCACATGGGGAAAGTATTAGTTTTAGTTACTGGTTGATGAATGACTACTGGTTCAGGTGTTGGAGGTGAGATCGGCCGTTGAACAGCCAGATGGTTAGTATTACGAACTATTCGAACATTATCCACTGGCGGTGGGAGCCGCTTAAATTGTTAGTAATGTTAGTAAAACGAAATATGTATGTATATAAAACCGTATAACTCTAACCTTGAGCATCACGTTCAGTTTTTCCAGCGCTTCTTTCGATTTTTCCTTCTCGGCCATAGCAATTGCTCTTTCTTCGCGAACATTGAACCGATGAGGATTGAATTGCTCTCCATTATTCACGGTACTCTTAACAGCAGGCTCCGTATAAGCTTCCACGGGAATTCGGTTCAATCCATTTACCTAAATTATTGAATTTCGTTATGCTTATCGTTTATTCCTAATTCGCTTGTGTTAAAATTTTAGTCTAGACGTAAAACTGATGTCTGCTCCTTATCAGGAATTGAATAATGTATAATTTTCGCATAAAATTGAAATTGTTAAGGCGTAGTTTGATCAATAATCAAAACTTTGAAGAAGAATTAAACAGATAAATTTCATCGGAAACAACCAATTACTGAAAGATTGAAAGATTCAAAAAGATCACAAACTCTTCTTTCATCAGCAGATGGTGATCGAAGTCTCGTGCCATTTTGGTGAGGGTAGTGCTGCTCAATTCTTGGTGGAATCTGTCTTGTCATCATGGGTGCTTCAATTCTAAAAAATAATTTATACCATTTATTTAAAATAACATTTATATTCAAACCTTTCACGAGACTTTGAATCACTTCTGGAAAGCGTGCGAATATTGTCTTGGCGATTTCTTCGGCCGTTTGGTGTTTGTTGAGGTGCCTAAAACGACTAATATGAATGCCATTTTTGAATTCTGCCACATTGCAATAAAAAGCACACATTTTGCTGATAAAATAAATGTGTAATGAAAAGAAGTCTTTAATAAATAACGAATGAGTAGTTGATATTTATAGGATGTATAATTGTGTCAATCAAAAAGTGGGTTTTTGAATTGATGAAAATTTTACAATATTCCTATTAGAAGCTTAAATATTTACAAACATAGAAATAAAATGCATTCATATCATTGTAAATGCATTTTGAGAAAAAGTAAAAGTTTAATTTAAACTTTTTTCACAAATTATGAAAGATATTGATGGCATTGCTTTACAAAATTTCAATATGCTAACACATGATGATAAACGAAAAAATATGTTGCACCATCACTCTCTACACAATCAATGACTCTTTTATCAATTGAAATATTTGGCAAAACGTATATAGGAATGAAATCGCTTACGTATAGTTGGGGCATTGCAATTCGTTCGACGCCATCTGGAGTTCGCCTGTAATTAATGACAATATTTAAGTACACAAATAGTACAATCTTCCTCTATTAATATTTTTAAAATTTTACCCAGCTGTATATTTTTTAAAGATATATGGATTTTTTAAAATCTCACCTAATAAGTGGTGGCTTCATCGTGTACCCATCAACTGAAGGAGAACGTCTGGCCATGTACTTCTCAACTCCACGCGGCTGACGTCTAAAACATTATAAAAATAAACAATTAAATTAGCTAACATGTTATAATACAGTGTTTTTGAATCTCTTCCTCGAGACATTGTGCGAGATTGTGTTTCCTAAAAGTTGTCGATTAAAATTATTATAAATTTAAGCATACATATTCTCCTGGAATCGGGCTTAAAATCACCATTTCTCCATTTTCTGAAATTCATTATAATTTCATTTAATTTATTATTGTCCGATACCGTTCATTTGTACCGGCATCATGTAAACTGGTCGCTGATTATCATAGTGATTTAAACTTTCCTGCCGATATCCTTGTCGATCCCAACTTCTACCCCTTTGTGCTGCCATATGATCATCGGATGATGTCGACTGATCACTAGAGAAGTCCTGAACAATGCCGCATTTGTTTGATTTCGTTTAGAGATTCAATTCTACCGGTGAGAGCGGTTGCCGTCGATCATATAAATCATATGTCGGAGACATGTATCGCGGTAGACTTTGTGCGCGATGTCTCATTGGAGATTCATTTCGGCGAAGTGTTGCGTTTGGGTACGCGGCGACAGCGGGACCGTTACGACCGCCCTTGATAGTGCCGGCAATTTGGCGAGCGTCAATTTCAGCATTGCGGTGTTCATCTTTCGAGAGAACTTGATCGAATACTGCGTCTAAGAACTGATCGACATGTTCAGCGTTTTCCGGAACCGGCATATTGCGAATTGTTGAGTATTGACTCGGCACTTCACCTTTCCGGAATCGATTACGGTAATGATTGTGATTGTCTTGCTGATATGGTTCAGGCTCTGAAATTCGACGACCCCCTTTTAGCTCATTTCTCCTATAACTATCTTTAGCTATAAAATATTTTAGAGCCAATTTGAGAAAAATGAACTTAATTATCGTTTTTTATTACTTTCTAATTAGATTTGACCTTAAATGGCTCAAGGCTGCAAATTAATTAACTAACGTCTTCCATAGTTATGATCTTCTTCGTATCCATCGTTTCTTGAATATGGCACTCCATATGATCGAACACTTTGTGGAGACATCATTTCCAGATTGGGTTCTGGAGCACTATATTGTGGGACTGAAAATATGGAAATTGAAAAATCTGCAGCAGTTATAGAGATTCAATTACCTTGGGGATATTGAGGAGTATACGAGAAATGGGGCTGCATCATTACTGGCTGTGTCATCATTGCCATAGGTTGGCCACCCATCATTGGTTGTGTCGTCATCATCACGGGAACGTACTGCATCATTGGCATTTGCGCATGATAGTTGAATGTTGGTGGTGGCGCAAAATTAATTGGTTTATAATCTTCGTTTTCGCTTCTTGAAATGCCAATTTTCTGTTATGCTATTCCGTTCGATTATACCTTGAATATGTTTTACGTGGAAGAACGGGAGATGTCACGCAATTTTGTGCATTATCCAGTTCAAATGAATGATCGCGTTTTTGATTTGCACTAGGACTCTTTTTTTCTGCGAAAGAAATGACGTAAGGAAAAGATTAAATAAGAAATACCTCGTCTTAATGTCTTTGGAAGTGTGTACGAATATTCAGCATGTTCGTTATATTCTCTTTCCAGCGATTCATCTGATGATGCAGGTGTATCCGTTGCGCTAAAATGCATTCATTCAGCGCAGGTATAATTAAAGCGACCAACCGTTGTTCCGGAACAACTTTCGGGCTGGCAAATCGCTCAGGAGTGTTTCTGCTTTTTGATCTAATCCATTCTTCTGGCGGTGGATAGTCGCGAGCACTTTTAGGTGTTGATTCACGAGCCGTTTCCATCACAATTTCTTCCGTTATTTCAGGAGTTTTTGGTTTTTCATCAGTCTTTATCGGTTTCACCAATTTCTCTGGTGGAAAATTGAAGAATTTCGATTTGTTATCGTCAGATTCAACTCCATCCACTTCCGCAAACACGTCATGAATAAATTGAGTTCCTGCTGGAGCAAATACTCTTGAAGGTGTCTCAACTTCAACACTCCATCCGAGAGCTGTTCCAACTTCTCGTTGCTTTAAAATTCTTTCCGCGATCTCATTGGCTGTTATCCATGGGTTCAAGTGCACATCGTACTCAATACCATCATAGCATCTCACTTCCGCAACAGTATTATGAGCGGCAGGGGTTGTGAGAAGTTCAAGATTGGAAGGAGGAAGTTCTCTAGATATCTAAAATTCAATTAATAGTCATTCCCTTGATGCGAATTGCTGGTAACCTCGCTATCATAGATCTTTAATCGTCGCTGAAGTGTTGAAAACAATTGTTCTTTCAATGGGTTTGGCTGGTCATTGAACACACTGAAAGAATCACGCGTATGTATAGATCGCTTGTCAAGATTATATACCCAATGAGCAGAGGAATGATATTCTCAGTCGGTGGATAGACTGATATCGCCATATGAATCAATTTCCAACCCAATTCAACTGCCACCTTATCGCTATTCTTATTGATCTGATTCAAAACTTGTATGATAATCTCATCCCTTTGACATGGATTTGTGATGCCCTAGAATGCGAATGAATTAAAACTTGATCACTAATTTGTCAACCTGCTGGACAATGTATCTGCCAAGGTCATTTCGCTGAGACTTTGTCAATTTGCGATCGTTCATATATTTTAAAACGAGTTTGAAGATTTCAACCGAGAGGCGGAAGTCAAGGTCGGACTCTTTATGGAGAAATGGAGTCATTATCGGCTCTCGGCGAGGTTCTAGTAAATGTCCCTAAAAACAACTAAATTTAAAATTCAAATGCAAAAATAATGGACCTTGAAATTCTCATCGGCGAATTCAGTCAGTGTCATGCTTTTCATATGTGGCAAATATTGTTTTGTGGGAATTGACAAGTAATTCGTGACCACATGAGTAATATCATATTCCGAATCTGATTTTGGGCGATTCAGCAATTTTCTGGCATTCTCATCAATGTCGATATAACCAACCAATGTGGAATTCTCAGACTGAAGTCATTTGTAAGTTTTGCAAATTTATCTTTATCATACTGTATCTGGAAGCAACCCTCCCTCCAACACTTGATGGTAAGCAGCAAGTCGTTTGTTCCTTTTTGTAGTTCTGCCGAGTTCTTTGAACATCTCCTCCCTTTGAATGATGTAATCACGCCTACACACATTTTAACAATATTCTCATAAAGCATTATTTCATCTACCTTGCTCTCCAACCCCTGAGTCCTGCCTGAAGTTTAATAATGGCTTTCTTCTTTCTCGCAAACTTTCTGCTCTCAATAAAAGCGCGTAGGTGTTTTTGAATCATTATCGCCGCATCTCGAGATATGTTAAACTGCTGTAATTCGTAGCGATCGGCAAGCTTCTCGCGGAGGAATACATTATTGTTGCCTGAATGGAAAATGTGTGACAATTGGCAAATCAAGAAGCAGTAAAAACCAATTCTGAAGTCGGCTTGATATTTGACGCCTTGACCTTGAAGAATATCCTGGATAATTTCTTTCTCATTTTGGCACATTGCTATATCGCCAGGCAAAAGACATCGGTACCTACAATTCGTTGATTACTCGTATACATTTGATTAAAAGTACTACTTCTGAGCAAACTGTGTTTTTGTCATTTTCACTGGAAATCCAATATTTCTGAATTTCAATAATTCCGGTAGCAACAAATTTTTGACTTGTCGATTGATCATGGGGATATCAAATTTCATTGGTGTCCTCTCATTGTTACTCCGAATGCAACGAACAAAATAGGTTTTGCTTCTAGAAATTTGAGAATTACACATCGAGAATTAAAAGAAATAATCTATTACGAATTAATTTTTTCCACAATATCTTGAACTCCTTTTATCACTAATTGAACTTGCGAAGCAAAATAGTCAGCTCCATCGCGAATTTCCAATGATCGGAACAATAGGGAAATAACCGCGTTGCGACTTTCAGACAATTGCTTGACAAGAGTTCCAGGAACATTTCTCCTATTCTTTCGAAAGAAGTCGTTGACAGAATACCACGTAGAACCTATGCAATGCCTCACAGCAAATTCTAGTCGCTCCTTGTTGCGAGCCTTTCCGTATGAGCTTTTGTCCAAATGATTGAGATTGCAATGTTCCAGATAAGATTCAATTGATCCCTTCGGAAATTTGCACTCATCAGTCAACAAGGGTAGAAGTCCATATGGCTTCTTGTAAAGCAGCTCCACAACTTTACCATTTTCAATGTTTGAAGGAACCTATTCGTTTATTTTATAAGTGTGTATTGCAATAAATAGCCAAACCTTGTAATCTATATTAATGCCATCTTTCAAATAGTCAACAAGTTGATCGTGGAAAACATGCTTGACAAACAAGTTTTCAATTCTTTCATTGACACTATTAATGAGAAATTCCTCAAGTCCATTGTTGTTATACTTCTGAAAGATGTTTAGTAATATATAACTGGAACATGCTTAATTTACCTCAAACCCATATTGGTCCAAAATGGAGATTACGGCGGTATGCGTTGGACATTTGAAATGAACATTGATACGCGTCAAAATCCATTTGAACAATTCTTCATAAAGAAGCATTGCAAGACCATCACTGAAATTATTAAATAATTTAGATCATTGTCGCCACATTTTAATTAACCGATTGTCGAGCGCCGTATCCATTGAAATATTTGGCGAATTTGGTTTTCTTTGAAGTAATGCTTCCACAAGAAGCTCATAATCAATTTCAAGCAAGAAAGCGATCCACTTGACTTCGGAGGAGTTGCCCAGTTCAACTGTTTCAATCTCACTTTTCAAACTCTGGAAGTATAATTAATTTATCAGATTTCCAAAAAAATCTGCTACTCTTCTAGTCTTGAAGTAAATATTTCCGATGTGAAGAATGCAGGACACGATGCGGTAAATGTTCAATCGATGATCTTCGGAGAATCCCAAAAGTGCCAACGCATTATCAACATCGTCAAAATGGTCTTCATCTGCTTGAATATTGTCCGCAGATATGCCTTGATTCATATAGAAAAACTTCTGAAGCTCCTTAATGCCGAAACTTGATTTGGCTTCATCATTGAGACCATGGTAGATTTCATAGAAAATGTTGAAGTTTCTCTCTCCAGGCTTCTGGGAAATTACTCGACTGACTTCCAATGGCACCGTATACTTCAAATTTAATCCGGAAAGCTGATTTCTAAAATACATGTCAGAATTGTTTACGTTCAAACATTTTGATACTTCTGATAGAGAAGATCAAAGGAGCATCCGTATTTTGTAGCTTCGTTATTTTTCAATGTTTTCGCGCATCCGAAGCTTCTTAGAACAGTTTGTATAGCTTCCATCTAAAAATGTTGGCTGGAAAATTTTTGATAGGAATACTAACCTGTTTCAGTGATAATTTTGAGTTCCTTTGCGAAACGAAAAACTTGAAAGCTTCAAAAACATTGAACGATTTTCCAGAACCAGATTCACCTCTTCAAGTAAAATATAGAAACACTTTTAAAACATTTTGAACTAATATTACCCAAAAACAATTGCTGCCGACTGATCATTGATTTTCGAAAGTGCGGTTTCCGCAAGTCCCGTAATACTTCTATAAATTTTAAATATTCCTATAAGCAACTGAAATTTGTTTTCACATCTTCTTCTCCGATGGTATATGTTCGTCCGTTTTCTCATTTCCAGTCTTTTCCGGCTGCAAAAAATTGTTGCAAAATACCAAAACATCGCTAGCTTTCGTCTAAAAAACAAGATTTTAATTTAAGCAAAGCATTAAAAGGACAAACATAGTTCAGACGATTTTTGAAACGCTCGTGCAATATCTGGGTGATGGATGATTCGTAAGGATCCCTGAAATTAAACATAAACTTATTTTCTGACAGCTTAGGAAAAACTCACTCGAGGTCTATCAAGTTATCCATGCAGGTCGTACTTGTCATCTTTTCGTACTGTACATTCGAAATGTTGTGACAGTCTGAAAGAATACATTTCAAGTTTTCGTTGTTTGTATCATCAGATAAGAGCTGTGAAATGCGTAATAATAATAATGCAAAAGTGCAAAACTAGCCGTGAAGCGGCTAATAGTACGATGAAATTTAATTGATGAGATAAGTCCAGTTCACGTTTATTTATCGTGAAGCGAAAGAACGGTGGATTTTTTGACGAATCGAGTGATATCAAACAAGAATTCTTGTCAGTTTTTTTGCATTGCCATCTCTAACCAATTAGCAACGGTGAGATAATGGATAAGCTAATAAGCATGAAAACCGATTTTTTTCTGCATTTCGCTCATTTCTTTGGTGAATCGTACGACTTTGTAACATAGAAATTGGGATCAGAGTGGATTGCGCAGCGGTAAAATAGGTTGAATTGTTCCCAATAATGAATACGAAATATCTGAGGGGGGGGGCACCCAATCATTCTAATTCTACGATCCGTTCACGGTCACTATCTCGCAAGACAGCGAGTCCAAAACATCCAGTTATCCCTTTTGTTGGTTATCAATTTTGTGACAAGGAATCCAGGGCGCTGAGCGAAGAGACGATTGACATCTTGTTAGTAGGCGCTCATTCCAATGTTTGGTATAATATATAATTGCGGGTTGAAAGTGAATCGCATTCTTGTTCGAGATAACTGGTGATAAAGTTTGTAACATTTGAGGAATATGGTTGTAGACATTTGCAATTCGAATCGTATCGGCGTTTTCAACGAAATGCAAAACAAATAATCAAAGGGGGATTGGCGAACAGAAAATATTCTCTGAAAAACTGTACCAATACAATTTTTTTCGAAAATTTATTGACAAAAGTTGATAAGTCATGTTGAAAATGTTCGTGTAAGTTAACTTTAATTGTATTATATTCTTTCACTCCTTGTATTAAAAGTAAATCCCTTTCTCAGAGACACTATATTATAAAACCGAAGAGCGATTCAATTGGAAGGATGTGTACGTGTGCATTGCTCAGTTTTCTATGTATATATATGTACATATCTTTCCTTCCTTTTCAATTCACTTCATTCAAAAAAAACAAGGATGGTCTTCATTTACATTTGTTGTATATGAATATTTTATTATATAATGTTTCACCCCTCTCATTCATCTCTATTTTTCGCTATTCAGATCCGTCACAAACATGACATTTTCAAGCGCGTTTATTCAATGACCACATACACGAAAAATTTACTGAAGCAATGATTTAGACTTTTCTCTATCAATCTAGCACAGAAAAATAAATTATTCCGGTTCGAAAATGATTTTACAAATTTACAACCGTACGAAGAGATAATATGGGCAACAGGGTTCAAAGATCGGGAGAAAATGATCACCCGGAGATCATTCATCGGAAACGTGGTAGGAAATGTGGGTATATACAAATAATACTAGTTAGATGATGCTTTGTGAGATATCGAAAAGAATATAACCGAGGTAGATAATTTTACTATTAATTCACTCGAGCATATGCACGTCGGAGATACAGAAGTGAGCCCTGCAAAATGGACGTTTAAAAAAAGCCATGCTTCTGCTTCCGCAAATAAACAATGCTTCTGCTCACCTACACGTCGGACAGTTGGAAACGCCATTAACCCAACTGGTTACGTCTTCAGTGTCTTGCTTCGAAAGGAAAATACGAGCCATGCACGAGCAGCACCTTGAAATATTCAATTACGGATTCACACTTTCGTTTTGAGTTATTACCACATCGGACGGCATTGACAATCACCACAATCCGGAGTTCCTTCAGCTCTCTCACGTCCTTCCAAATGACAACTTTTAACGAGACGAACATTCGCATTGTTAATCGAGCACCCAAAGCATTCAACAATCTGTAAATACAACAGAGTTCGATTCATAAGCAAGATGACTAACCTCTCCTTCATATGGCGTAATCTCATTTTCAGCTACTAATCGCCGGAAAAGAACTATAAACTGCTCAACAGCGCTCTTTGCAAGATGAATATTCTCAGGAATATCGATATTGATGCGAGCGTGGTCGCGCATATCCCGAAAGTATATGCTGCTCACCCTGTAAACACAATCAAAACTTATGGATCATCATGTGCGACATACGGGACAATCAGAGTATCAAGGTATTCCTGAACAAAATCAATTTTCAAGCGAATAATCTGAGGGACTTCATTAATACGATCGCTGCTACGAATCTAAAATGCAATTGCAGAAATTCTCAAACCAACTATTCTCAATTACCAATGGCTCAACAACAGCGTTAACAGTTATTCTCATGTCGTCACGTCTACAAAATCGAACTCCCCAATTGCTAATGTAGACGAAATAATGATTCGTGAAGTAGAGATATTTGTTTAGTGTATCTGGAAAACTTGCCTGACGAGAATTTCATTGCTTGAATAATTTGATGAACAATTTTTGTATCTTCAAAATCATTTTTTTTTTCTCATGAATCAGCTCGATACTTTTTTTCTTGAAATGAAATCGCACGTGCTCACGTGACATGTTTACGATTGTCATATCATGCAAGTGAACAATATAATTTGAGTGCTAGACACATTAGTAAATGCGCATACCGGAAATTCGAAAGACGTGGGTATCTGGCGATGTAATTTCCTGATTGATAAGCCGCATAGCTTGGTCGTCCTCGATGAAAAAATACGATTCTTTCCAGCAGAACATACTGCGATTGTGATAAACGATGGAAAGCCAAACTGAAAATTGACACATATGATATCAAGCAAAAGTTAGCGCTTCTTGTAGCTTGTCTTACTGAAAGTTGAAACGAAGAGCAATGGAATGTAGATATGCTGATGAGCGAGCCATGGAGGAAGAATGTAAACTTCATTGAGGATGATCAGATACATCAGGAGGACTGAAAACAATAGTTTTATCAAGATTTTTTTAAATAGAATTTGTTATGATGGTAAACCAATTTTCACAACTTCAAAATTCTTAAATCTCTAGCTAACCAATTGGGATTGACCAGGCGGCTGACTTGTGAGCAGTTCGTTGAAGGAAAGCGGAATGCACAAATTTCAATTTGGCACAGCTACAATATGTCCGAACCAGCGAATTGAGAGTGCATCCAATTCCTTAAAATATCGCACATTTTCTACTATAAACCACGCATTGATACCAATGAAAGCGACCGGTGGGTGAAGAAAGCATACCATTCCTATTAATACGATAAACATGTGAAAAATCACATCAAACCCTGATAGTTGTTCTGAAAATATGACAAATAATAATGAAAATCTCGAAAATTTGCTACCACGATGATAATTTGCCGCAACTCCATTTGCTAACATAAGCAAGAGGAGTACCCGAAACATCTGAAAAGACGAAATGGAAATCGATACATGCGATGATAACGTTCTTCGTGGGTTTGTGTCGTTTCAAACGAATTGAAAAACAACTGAAGTTGGGAGAGTACATTAGAGCGAACTTGCGCGCATCCAATGAACATCATAGTTAGTTGGAGAAGAGGAATTGCGAAAATTTGGCAAAGTCACATTTTTTTGGTCGATTTTTAAGACATTCTCTGGGAAAGAAACTTCATTAGCAGACTCATGACGCACTTAAATTAAGAAAACAAAGAATGGGTTTTGAATAATCCGCGAAAAGTTTAATAGAGAGATAATTGCGACGAGAAATGAAAACAAATTAAACGGGACCGAATAATCGTTGAAACGATTGATACGCACAAAAAACTAGACTTCAGTTTAATAAATTCGATTTCCTGCCGACGAGAGAATATTCCCAAGCGACCGAATGAACGGCAAAGATAATTTGTAATAGATTTTCAATCCTCTTCCAATTCTTCTTGCGGTTAAGACGTTTTCCGAACATTCGTCATCATATTGGAGTAATTTTATGCTCAGCCACAAATCGAAAAATTTATTCGTTGAGTCTCATTCGTCGTCTCTAAACTCGAATGACTACTGTATCCGTTTTAACACTTTTAAATTGGAAACAAAATCGAATTATGTTAATCAAATCACAATTTTCGAGGGAAATGGGATAGATTTTTGGATAAATACCAAACGCTTTATACATGCTAACGCATTGTGTTCAGCAATTGGTGCAAATTAAATCTGCGAAAAAGGCTAATTGAATAAAACATATTGCGGTCTCGGGGCACTTTTAAACATTGTAAACGTTTTTCAAAGAAAAAAATATATATATTCATGTGGAAATGTATAGTTTTCTTGCGGAAAACGGCAAAGTAAAGTATGAATGTTTGCTTTCTGGGGGGTTTTAAGAAATGAGCATTTTACATAAAAGACACTGCCCCACAAAACTGGGCCCCATCTTGCAACATTTTCAAACACCACAATAATATGCAGTAATAGAAAGATTGGCGGAGCGATCTTCAGACGGAGGTAACTTATATGCATGAAAATGTAAATTGGAATATGTATTTATGTATATAATTATGTAATGTAAAGCACCAACGCACCATTATATTTGAACCAGGAGCTGCGAGTTGAGAGCAATTAGCATCGAATGCGTGTATCGAAACGTTTCCTATTTCCGAAAAGGATTATGTGAATATGAGACTCGAACACGCTTTTTTCAAGGCTAAAAAGAGGTATATAGTGTTCTTTTATCGGTTTTTTTCTGTTGAGAAAATGAGTTTCCATCATTTACGACATCTTGAAAATTTTGCGTTCATGAATTTCGAAGGAATGCGCGTATTGGTTGCCCGCCCACTCCCTTCTCCCAAAAAAAGGAGAAGAAGCCAACGTAATTGAAAGAATCGGAATAATATAATATACGTTCAAAGAGGAAAAAATTGAAGGAGAATGGGAGAATGAGAAATTGGGCATGGCTCAGCCGTTCATCGATGCCGCCGACGCCATCGCTGGTGATGGAAAGTAGCCTGGGAGATTTTCAATTAGAAAAAAAGGAATGGAAAGAATCGGGATCCAAGAATGTTGGAAGCCTAACACAATAATTGCATACGCATTTTGTGCGTTATAGTGTGCACAAAATGTGCCAGAACATCTGATTTTTTAAAGTTTGGCTCTCTTGATTGCCAAAAGAAGCGAAACGAGACCATTTATCTTCTTCTGAAATTATCAATTTTGTGCTGTATCAAATGAAGTTTTGATGACAACAAATGGTGAGAGATGTAGAAGGATTTTAAGGAGAAAAAGAAGCTGAAGAAACCACACGCGTTTACTAGCAACGAATTTGAAATGAAAAGCATCTAGCATACAATTAGCAGGAGAGAGAGAAAGAGTTCGTAATCATTTTGAGGAAAATACGAAATAAGACTTTCTTCAATATTCCGATTTTCTCTAATAAGTCAAACCCATGAGGGTTTGATAATGTATACTAGTAGAAGGCTCTTCAGAATTGCAATTTCGAAATAATTTCGCCTCGAAGATGTATTTGCATTTCTCTTCACGATTGGTTTGATGACTGAATATATTCATGGACGGGTTCCAATAAATCTTCCAACATCTGCGTTCAATCTTTCTCATTCCCTTCTTCTTCTCCCTAAAAGTGCACGGTTTCCTCCTCCAATTTTTTTCATTTCGTGTGCATACTTTAGATGACGAATAACTGGCTAGTAAAAGATGTGAACGTTATTTACGATTTTTTTTTAGAGGAAACGTAAGTGAAGATCTCTGGGAAAAGAAAATTGAGGGTATTTTGAAGAGCATCAAGTAATCATCAAATTTGCATAAAAAATGCATTTTATATTGAAATATTCCAAGCCGAAACGACAAGCTTGATTTATAAACCAGAATTACTAAATTGAGTGGAAAAGAGGCCCGAAAATTCAATAGGGATTATCTTTTGGAAGCAATGAATGAGTAAACGCTTGGAAACATGCGCAATGAGGAAAATTTTTTGTTTTGCATTGAAAGTGCTAGTAAATATTCCATGAATATTTAATATCATTACTGTAGTTAACAAATTAAAAATCAAGAAAATGTTCGATGTTGTTGATTGATACATTAATCGAATTTGAGTGGTATAAATCCAAAATTATATATTAAAAATCTGCTCGTCACAAGCTCAAGGATATATTAATTTTATCTGACGTGCAAATACTTTAATAGAATACTGAACCAAAAAATTTTAATATGCTTGTTTATTACGTATATAAACTGAAAACTAACCGGATTGACCAACTGATGTTATTAATCCGTTTATCACTCTTTTATCCGTCTAATGGAGCATTGAGCAATATTATTTGTTGCCTGTTTATTTCGAAATCGATATATTCTCAATAAAATTTGACAAAGATAAATTAAACAACAAGAGTTAAATACAAAGTTTATTATTACGCGTAAAAAGAATGAATATTATATAATATGTTGACATCTAATGATGTAAAGTTATGCATGGCGAGATCAAGAATGTCTTGGTGGTGTTTAAAAGAATGATTAATGCTGGATCCCGAAATGAAATATAATTATGACGTTGGAGTAGTCTAGAATTTTGATTGTGTGGAATTTAAACCAGATCCAATCCGTTATTTTCCACGATCGGCGTTTTTCCAACTGGCTTGTAATCACTTGAAACCCTAAATGGAAAAAGCTTTTAAATATTTCGAAAATTTCTGAAACTCACAATGGAGGCCTCGAAATGTTTTTCGAGTATCGGTTGGGATTGCGCACTTTGAATTTATACAAACAGTACGCAAGTAACACCACGACGGAAATGAATATGAGAAAAGTCACAAATGGTGGCCCTGAAAAGAACAACGGTTGTTTTTTCATAGTTATTGTCACTTTTTAAGAAGCCTCCCAGTTATCGAAACAGAAATATGGGTTTGTTACTTTCAAATTAAACTTAAAGTTGAAAAGGACAAAAGCAAAAAAAAATGTCGTCAAACATGTATAGTACGTTTTTGGCTTCATGGTTAGGCGTCTATACACTGTTAAATAAACATACAGTAAGCGCAGACCGGTTGAGTTACCACAGAATGTGTTCTGACCGAATCTAGGACGTTGCATGAAGCTCCCATCCATCCTTGCTCGCAGCTATAGAATATTGATTGCGTTTCAGAAACATTTCAACAATTACTTACACACAGCTCGTGATATTTGATGAGATCTCGACATGACAAACTTCGGCATGGTCGCAGTTGGCAAGCTCTTCGCCGTAGCAATAACGGAAACCTTCAGGAAGCACATGATTCTTTTCACCCTTTAAACGATAGGAAGCTGACATTCCTGGCTGAACAATTAATAGAGATATTAAAAAATGGTTCTAGATTTAAACGTACAGCAGAGCACTCATATACCCCATCGTGATTTTCTGGAACATAATTTGTAATTTCTACGAATGAAGCTTCTCTGGAAAATGAAAATTGAAAAAAAAGAAACTTTTCAGCGTGTCATACTTGTTCATTTTCACATACGTCGGATCGATAGGCATTCCGCCATGCAGCCATCGAATTGAATCAATCTTTTTATTGGGATGCTCGCATCGAATAACGACACTTGTTCCCAGTTCAACCCCAATCAATGTGGTGCCTGCATGGACGTCATCTGAAAGACAATACTGAGTTAATGATTGTTTTAAATAGGTCTTCCTTAATTAATTATAACAGTGTTTCAGTTTGGTGGAAGGATCTCTAAAATTGCATGTACATATTGACTTGAAGATATTAATTTTTTCATCATAAAGGTAAATAATACAATTTACATGCACAAAATTGTTAATAATCCTTATGTTTCCATTAAATGACTTATGTCACTTCTTATCAATCATTCACTCACTTACCGACACGATTAGTTTTCGTAATATTCGATTCTGAAACTGTTAGGAAATATTTCATTGTACATTAGTTTATTGCGAAATTCTCGTTTCACTACAATGATTACCTTGAAGTCTCAGAATATGTTCTCCGCAGTTTACAATTGCAACGATTGAAGCGATGATAATAACGATTTGCATTTTGACAGTGTCTTCTATAAAAAATAATATGGAATAATGCAATCAATTCTTCTTATTATTTATAATATTTTTGTGCGACAAGGAACGGATGTGACGGTATAACTAGTTCTACAGTATGATGGATGGGAAAAGAGGTTGGACTGAGTGGAATGTCCGACCGATATGCAAATTGAATCAACAAATATTGTGTTTTTTTTTGGGAAGATGAGTCAGCTGATAGCACGCATAATATGTTTTAAGTAAGCAAAGTCAATCATAGAATATAGTGATAGTTCATTTGATCGGAATTGCGCTTGAACGGGCCACTTTATATCTGGTGTTTTTAACTGAGACCTCTTGAAATCTATTTTTTCTTCATGTCAATAATGTTTGACATTCATCCCACTCATCTATCTATCGGTAACAAATATTTAGATTGATTACTCTTTGAGAGCTCAATGTTAATAAGAATCCGCGCAATTTTATGTGCTCAATCGCTGGTTTGACTTTTGTCGAAGGTTCGAGAACTTCTAGAGAACAATACGTGGTGATGCGAACATTTGTTTTCATTTTGTCGCGCTACTGATAAGAATGCGAAAATTATTGATGATATAGTTTCCGAGCACTTGAGAAGCTGGCGGGGCCACGGTTCGAAAGAAAACACAACAAAAAAGAAATTGGAAAAAGGAACCTGCGATCAACATCAAATCACCGAATTTGATGATATCATTCGTTGTGTACATTTGCGAGGGCGGACAGCACCTCTCGCTTAAAATTCGAAATGGTGTGCATTGCAAATACAGGAATGCTGTTTGGATTTTTTTGGAATGTCCAAACATTTAAATCTGGTTCCTTTTCATTGATTTCTATGTGATTTTCGCAGCAAATAGGTCATGAGTCAGTCAGCAGTAAATATGCCGCACATATTATCTAAACGCCCATTTCAGCACTCTTGCTATGCTCAACACTAGAGGGCGCCGAATTTTTTTAAATGAATTCCTAACATTCCATTCAAATGAGAAACTTTGTAAGGGAGATTTGACTGTTGGAGGAACCAGTCGCCGACGGCTTTACATTACATCTGGAAAACAATTGCTGCATTGTAAGCAATAACTTTTGCATGACGATGAAACATCATCAAGGGTGAGGGGGAACAAAGTCGAAATTATTTTACACACTCAATTCCAATTATTTTTAATTCAGCCAGTTCTAAAAAAAACAATAGCCAAAAATCAAAGATCATATCGCTATCATTATAATATAATAAGATTTCAATAGGTGAGAGCAATTTTAGACCGACTGTCCCATTTTGGACTGAATGCGCAACAGGCACGTGGTAGATCAAAACGAGATGTTGACGTTCAGAGACCATTCCAAGATCAAGAAAAGTCAAATATAAGCTTAGCGACTGAGAGAAACTGACTGAATAACACATTAACAATGAAAAAAAAAGAGATTCTTGAAGTAATTAATCAAATTTGCGCATTTGAATAATGATAACCATAAGTTTTTAGACGACAAAATCAAATTTCAGTTCAGAAACGGGAAGAAACCACATTGCAACATGCCATCTATGGTTTTCTCATATCAGCTAGTCGAGCACTGATCTTTCAAAATTCAATTACTAATAACATTTTGTGATGGTCGGGCTCGTTTTTATTTGGGAATTTGAAATTGAAGTACAAGATTGAAATTTTTTGACAAACGAGAATTTTTAAAACACAGTGTACATAAGGCAAAGCAGAGCCATTTGGCCGAAATCCATTAAAATGCATGAGTCATGAAGTACATATTTCAGGTGACTAAACTTAACCGCGTCAGCCGTATGTAAATTTGACAGGTCTCCGATTGATAAATCAACAAAAGATCGTGATTTCTCAGTATCGACGAAACATTGTTCACTAGAATAGATTTATGGCCCTTTTTTACATGCGACAGGAAGCGAAAAGGTTATAGTTGAAAAAAGGATAGGAGGAGAGCGAACACAACCGGTGGTGGGATTGAACACCACAAGCAACCTGCCTGACAAACTTTCACCAAACTTTCACATAAAGAGATAATCATAACTTTTTTACACTCTGAATGCTTTAGCTTATTATCTAACTTCAAAAAATTATGAGGTGAATTTTAAAGCGTTGCGACAATCATCAAACCGATTCTGAAATATTTTTAAAGTAATTTTTTTAAAATTATGATATGTGTGTCTTCATAGAAGCTTTATCAACAATAATATACAGAACCCATAACTATCAGAAAAGTGTTTTCGGAAATATTCAAATGATAAACATTTGCGCGGATCACACATTTTTGTGACTTGATTCACACTCATTTGTTTTATTTCGATAAACGATTATTAGGAAAGCTACGATGTACCCAAAAAACGCAGATCTTAACAATGAAAAGAAATTTCTCAAAATGTTTTAGAACCACTCAAAATTTATTGCATTATTTTAAAGTACAGAAAAATGTACACCTATTTTAATATCCAATAAAAAAAAATAAATAAAAATTGTTACATTTGTAAGTTACAAATGGTAAAATGAAAATTGCTGACAAATTGCTTGTGTTTGAGACATGTTCAATAAATTTTAAGGACTTTGGAACTTTCGGAATTTGAATTTTATTTATATAAACGTTCAGTGTTGTGTCGATGATATATATATATATATATATTTTTTTAACGGAATTAGTTACAATATTTCAATACTGGCGTATATGACTTCCCCTGTTTTCAGACATTTTTGCTTTCAGCGTTTCAGCTTCTCGGTTTGGTGATAACATATGTAGAACTTCGCATATCGTTCATATGTCATTTTGAGATGAGTTAATAGTGAATTCTCTCGAAGGGAATGATTGGAGACAAGTGAAATGATGTAAACCTACTAATTTAATTGCGACAAATCAGTCACGGATTGCGCGGTTTGAAAAAAAATCGAAAATGAAAATTGATTGGAACATTTTCAACCGGAAACGACATCACAAAAACAAGTCTTGGTGGCTGTTATTATACACAACGCATTACAGTAATGGAAATTCTGCTTTTATATCGCACGCAGGCAAAATTTTCTAAAAAACACTTGATAGTAATTCAAACACTTGAAAACTGATATCAAGGAGTCAATAAAATCTAGTATTATTGTTATTGGAGAGCTCATAGTGGCTAGATTCTCAAAGATTCTACCGTTTTTCTCATGCTTAGGGTACTTAAAAGTGCAATATACTTGGAAAATATTTTGAAGTCATCCATCCAAGTCACTTCTACTCTCCAACTCTCTGAATTTTGAAGCTTCGTGATCGAGATCGAATTTATTGGATTAAGCAAATGCAAACTTTCTCACGTTTTCTTGACAAATTTGGTTAGGAAGCAGAAACATATTTTTCAGGTTATAATTGAATTTAAGTGTTTTAAGTCAATTTATTGCATACTTAGGATATTATCTGCTTCAAAATATTTTCGCAACACAAAATTAACACCAATTTTTAAAACGTTCGTTACATTGTTAGAGTTTTTCGATATAACCGCAAATAAAGTATATTGACCCAGCAGTTTTATAGTTTGTTTTATGTTGCCACATCCGCTTTCAATCCTCATTTGACAAATGCACTAATCTCATAATATTTGTCTGAATGTCAATGATATATATATAAAATGTCTATCAAGAAAAACGATTTTCCTGAAAATCCGAAATTTAAAGCAAATTTTTCAAGTACAATGCTAAAGGGTTCACTTATTGATAAATAAGATTCAATCATAAATAATTATCAGTTTTTTTTCTTCGATTTAACCTTTAAAAAATGAAAAAGGCAGAAGCGATATTTAGATCATCAGAAGATCATAGTCGCTATGTTCAAACATGCCATTGCGCCGTAATCGGTTTGATATTTTTCTTTCCGCTGATCACCGACCGGGTAAAACGAATTAATGAAAACACACAGTTGACGTTTTGCAGAAAGTAAACAAATGTGGAGCTTTACCAAAATACATAAGCTCGATTTATTTCTTGCAGAACAATATCAGAAAGTTGGGAAAAGAAATTTGAACAAACATAGAATATTTATCGTTTAATTTCGTAATAGCTTCTTCTCCTCGATCGTCTTCTACGGTCTAATAAAGCATTTTGATAAACGGAAAAAAATGACATATTGTGTTGTGTTGATTATTGGCTGGTCGGCAAAATTTCAGAAACGCATCCATGCATGTATTTGAGCGATTTGATTCTCATGCTGCAAGCACATTCGCCCTTTGGGTTGGCCCCTTGATTGCGGTGTGGTCTCCACGAACAAACTTGGTAGGCTGGAAATAACTCATGTATTTTTAGACACCGTACAAAGCCCACGCGCAATAATTCTTAATGCGCATTCAACGTCAACCGAGCGTGTTAAACAATGAAATCATCGGAAACGGAGCTAACGAAATGGAGAAATTGAACAACATGATCGCTCATCTAACAATGAGCCGCTCCTCAATCCTCAAAATTCATCAATTTTCTCCTTTTGATAACGTCTATCTATTTTGTTTTCACGGCTTCCGGTTTTCTCTATTTTTGGTTAAATCAGCACACATTGAGAGATATTTTTAGAAAAAAAAAACTTCCGCGCCAGGTTCACTGATTTATCGGCAATCAAATTGATTTCTCGACACCTCTTTCTCGGACCGTATTAAAAAAAAACAACTGTTACCCTTCAAACACGACGCATGTTTGCTAATTTGATTATAAATACACGAAAGACAGGTTCCATCAATTTTATGCCCAAAATTAGTCGCGACTAAATTCTGATTGAAAATCAGACGGAAAAACCGCGAACCGTTATAATCCATTTGGTCAGTCATCAAATGAACAATTTCGCTTACCGCTACAGTAGGCACGGCACTCCTCATGGTTTTTCAATTCAAGAGTGTTGGATTGGTCGCCGTCGATCAAGATGTTCTTCAATTTGACCCCTTTAGCTGGAAAATGTATCGATCTTGTAATGAGTAATGCGCTCAATACCAAAGTAAGCATTCGGCTTCAGTCCACTAGTTTTAGTGCTATCCTCTTCAGATGATCCAATTGCCGACTTGAGATAGCAGCGATGGGTAATCTCATCATAAGTATAGGCAATGCAGCACTCATGGCTCGAGCATGCTACACAACAATCTCGTATCTCCATAGTAGTGAACTCGTCATATGTTCCCCCCTCAAGCATTAGATTCGGAAGGAAGAGGCACGATTGAACTGCAAACTCAACGTTATTATTATTGGTTTTTGAAAAGCGAACAAGTTGGCCCTGAAACGATTTTACACTGTTCACAAATCAGTAACCGTCGTTCAAAGAACAACCTCGTTTCAAGTCGAAGATGGGGAGGAGGCTATTAAATTTTATGGAAAATTTGGATGGGAAGATAATAAAACGGGCGAAAAAATGTGGGGTAATACGAACGTCTGAGAGATGATTTCTTTTCATTTTTCCAACATAAAAAACTATAAAAATGTGAGAATCAAATATATACCGAGTTTGAGCAAAAGTGAAATGAATTTTTTATTTCAAAAAATTCTTGGTGTTTTCTGGATAGATCGAAAATGCAAAATTCGAGGAGTGATTTGAATTGCCGGAATATTTTAGAAAAGTTATGCGATAACGCATATTTCGATCAAATTTCTTGATATAAAAAAAATAAGATTATAAATTGAACAAATTTTGATGTGAAATTTACAGCTTTTTTACTCGGGTCTGGAATTATGAATATTAAGTTCCGCTCGAAAATACCTATTTTACATTTATATAAACTAACTTGTACCGGCTCCGATGTTCATCATGAGCAACGCTGAAACGACCGTCAACAACATTCTTCTATTTATGTTCAATCTCCACCGCTGAGCATGCGTACACGGCTGAAACATTTGATCTGTCTAAACGAAAATCGTGAACAAGCAATCATGTTCGAACCGGAGAGCGGAACAGTAAAAAACGCGTGACGAAGCGACGAGTCGGACTAGCACACTCGTACATAAATGAGGACCTCGCCTCAGGCCTCCGCCGGAAATGATTGGAATTTGCTTGAGGGGGAAGAAAACAAGATGAAGACTGAGGAGAGATTCACTCAATTCAGGCGTCGAGGCAAAGGTGTTGGATGAACACAAATCGAGGAGATGGAGGTTGATAGAAGGGGGTTGGGAAACTGTTTAATTAGAAAATTACGGTCATTTCGTTGGAAGGACTTGTGTGACTATGAAAATGCAGTCGAAGGAGGGGGGGGGGCGAAAATTCGCGCGCTAACAAGACTAGACGTTTTTGATCAAGGATTCTCAATTTTTCTTCTATTCCTCCCAAAATATATACTTTGGAAATTTACAGTTGAATGCACTCTGACGGCGGAACCGGAAATTTCCAACAGAATTTTGGGCGAATATTCCATGAGAATTGATCTATCAAACCAACTTCTAAAATAATGGATGCTTGATATTGTATTAATAAATAGACTGCGAGTTTGCTTTAGTAAATTTAAATTATATTCTTAAAATATTAATAATTTTTTGAAATATATTTGACATTTTCTTAACATTTTAATTTTTGGATAGTTCCTGGTCAAACATTCATAGACTGGACCTGAAACTCTCGATGTCTTTCTTAGAATTTGAAGTTGAGTTACTGGAATAAGAAAGGAATACTAAAAAAAACTTAGAGTTCGAAAGAGTGGCAGCCAATGTTTGGAACTGCCGAGTTGTCGAGTGACGAAGGCAATACACGCTTGACGTGAATGATTTCCGAGTCACTGGAGCTTCGGGCGGTCCGAAGGAGAAAACGGAGGGATCGAAGGTCTTAGAAGCGATACTGCAAATGGCTGCGTAGGTACACACGAACCTACACATGTTTCCCATTCAAGAATAATGGGTTAGTTTAAAAATATGAAAAGTGGCCGCGATGAGGACTCTGGCAAGCACGAAGAGAACCTAATAAAACTCGGACGGAACAAAACGAAACGAGCGACGACGGCAAATGTTGGGCCGATTTTTTTCTATTCTTCTGCTTCAGTTCATATGACGCTAAAGTCAATTGACCAAATTACATATACGGCATTGTATGGTTGGTCAGAAATTGATCGGATACATATGTATTATTTAGCCTAGACTACTAACAAACTTCCGTTTTGTTTATTGTTTATTTCGAAAACTCAAGAAAAACGTGAGAAAATTTTCTGGCGAAAAAAAATAGTCTTCCTTGAGCATGAAAGAAGTTTTTGGAACTGCCATAAGGAATTATAAACCGTTGAAGAAAGAGGTGACGTCAATAAGTAGAACTATTTTTGAAAGCTTCATCCTTTTTGATTGATTTCCACGTCATTCGTAAACAAAACTGAGATTTATCCCATCAAGTATGCAAGGAAGGAGAAAAGGAAAATGGGAAATAGAAAAACTTTAAAGCGAACTACAGCCAGCGGCGATGAGCACAAGAGTGCTTCAAGATAATTGACGCGAAAAAAAAGTGGGCAAAAACTCATAAAATACGCCAATTCCTGAGAGAGTCATAAGCGTTTAGACTACATATATCTCATCCACAGTAAACTTGATGGACGCAATATAGAAATGTTGTTAAAATGCCCTCGACGCGGAAATAATTATGGTTTTCCCAACTATATAGAGCAATTACATCCAATTTTATTATAATGCATTGCACAAGTATTTGAATGAATAATATGAACAATGCTTAATCGAGGAAGAATCAATTTTTAAAAAATCTTCACGAATTGAGCACTCAAGGAATTATAATGAAAAGCTGATCTCAGTGGTCTTCAACATAACCAAATCCTTCAATAACGAATTACAAAACATAACTAACTGACATATTAAAAGATATTTCAAATATTTCAATTTTTCCTTAAACCAAGGTGGTGTATAAATAAATAAATAATAATTAAATTCAAAATTTTTTAGGTTCTAAAATTAATTTCTCTCTTTTCTAATATTCAGAAATTCCCGCTTCGATATAAAATCCACATTTCGGTTTACCACCTAGTTTATGGAAACAGTATATAATAGTACCGTAAATGGGCGTGACTCTTCTTTTTAGTCATATTGACCCGAACAGTATTACGCTGTTATTGATTATATAGAGCGTAACCTACACAAAAATAATTATAAGCGGTAGTTCATTACAATCATATGGTTTTTTTTTCGTAATTTCTGTTGTTTTAGTATTTTTTCAGGAAAAAAAATTTTCTCATAGAAATAGTTTGATTTCCTATTTAATTTTATATCATTTAGTCTACTTACTTAGTAATACGTATATTCTAATTAATTTTATATTTATGAAAAATGCAAAATTGCTTTACATTTCAATTAACTATTCGTTTCATTATATTCAAGCATGTTCAGAAAATTTTAATATTTCATTTTGTTATCATAATGAGAAGTTTATTTAATTTTGCCAACAATCACGTATGATTAAATCATTGCATCGTTTTCATTTATCGATTTTTACATATCATCAAAAATAAATGTTGAAAAGAGGACCTCTCACGTTATTGCAATTATTATATTAATTTGTCGATTCAAATCTATTAAGTGTTTGAGTGGAGTATTATGACACGATAGAATACGTGACAACTGCATAATATTGATTGAATCGCGGACCGACGCTCAGATTTGCACATTTTTCGCGAAAATGTTTTATTCCAACTGCAATCTCATAAGTTTTTTTTTGGATTTTTTATTTCACAAAATAAAATTAATTACTTATGGCAATCAAAGAGTTTCTTCTCTTTATTTATGCTATTTGAGCCGAATTCACAACGTAGCAGCTGTTATATAAGTTTTTAAATGAGACTAGCGAATGTGGAATCCTCCTCCCCCCCCCATTTTTTATTCATCGTCTCAATACTTTATTTTTTTTCTTGATGTTTATTTTTTTTTGATTTTCTGGACATATAAATATATTAAAAGCTCAGAATCCTCGAAAGAGTGAGAAACGTGCAGAAACATAAAATAGGATTAAATTACGATTAACAAAGTAATACTGAGAAGCAAACTTGTTAATATAACGTATATATTCCAAATTCATTGGTATATTTGTCACTTTCCAAGTTCAATTAATTTTGATGACGGACGTCGACCTTGATGGATGGATGTGTTGGTGACAGAGCAGATACGAATATTGAACTGTCAACCCGAATAATTAGTACGCAATTAGATTATCAGATTTTTGGCCCGCGGTTTCCAGTGAAAAATTATCAACAGCAACCAATAGTTTCTATTCGATGTACTTCTTCAATATTCAGAACAGTCACGAGTAAACCAGCTATTATTGGCTATTGTTTTGCAATAAAAGTAGAGGTGTAACACGATAATTTATTCAACAAAACGCAGTTAATCATTTGTTCGCATTGTCTTTTTGATTGTTCGCAATTGAACATCAAATAGTTCATCAATCCATTACCCATTTTCGTCTATCTTTTGTCTCAACCTCAACATTGTTGTTTAATCAATGAAAAAAGAATGAAACATAGTTCGGTTTGCAATGGAGCACTGATAGTTTTGTTTCTATCGTCGCATTATGTGGTCGCTTCCGTCAATTGTTTGGTACCACATTTCGATTTTAACACATCTCGACCAAGATAACTTCGATCGTTCCTTTTTCTCTGTAAAACCGCCGGTCAGCATATTATTGCCTTTTTAAATTTCAAAATTTCGTTGGTATTTAACATAATTGATAGAAAAATTCTATCAATTTTTTAAAATACTAACGATAGAAAAATTTATCGATAGAAATATTCTGCTAATTATTCGGATGGTCTTGAAACAGTCTTAGAAATAGCGCACAAACCAGATTTCATTAGATAGAGTGTAAAGAAGAGAGCGCGCAGACGTGAAAGTCTGCACCATTGCGTGTGGCGTTGCACAATCATGCTAGGATTTGAATATCCTAAAAACGAGTCTAATTTTTCTCATCTGTTGCTAGTCAAAATGAATATTTTTCTATACTTTGTCCCGTTTTGATTTTCATGTTTGTGACACTTTAATTTTTCAGAATTTTATATGGAGCATCATGCAGAGGACGCAATAAATTTGATGAGAAAGGATATCGAGCAGTTCAACGGTAAAATGGTCGAGCCATATAAGGAATATGAAGAAATTTCGAAAAGCTATGAAAAGCTTCCGCCAAATCAGGACGATGATTTTAAAGAAGGTTTGAATAAAACGGAAAAGGCTTTGAAACGCGAAGAAAGAGAAACTACCAGTGAAGGAGAAACGTCAGATCGAGAAAATGGAAAATCTAGCAATGAAGATGGAAAAGTCGATATCGAACATGATGAAACGAGTAATTTTCATATAATACTACAAGACGAAAACGAAAAAGTGGAAATCGATGAAAATCAGAAACGCGACCTGGTTTCGCTCGAAAACGGCGATGACGCTCCTACTAGTTTCAATAAATTTAAACGTGATGAAGACGTACCAGAAGAAGCTGAAGGTATCGCAAGCGATACTAAAAATTCTTGCAAGAATCGTCCGAAAAAGGAATCCGAAAGTGGATTCAAGGAGCCGATGGAAGAATTTGACAAAAGTGACGAATCAACATGCAATAATGAGTGCAACCGAACTGTAATATTTTTATTTCAGAAAGATTGAATTTTTCATTTTTTGTTTTTTGCAGACTCGCGGGCAACGGAGAAAGGCAGCTGAGGAAAGGGAAAGTCAATCTGTCAAACGTGCGCGAAAAGAGTCGGATGTGAAAGCGGAAACTAAACAATGTATTCTGAAACTTCTAAATTCATGGTAATAAAAAGGGTACAAATAACCAATTGATTAGCTCTACTCTTTCAGTTTGGGCGTGACTAGCGATGGAAAATTCCTCAGTCCTTCAGAGTTTGCATGCATCAATTGTTTCATGGAATGCTTCCGAGGGTACGAATCTTAATCCAATAAACCGCGATGCGACTTAATAATTTAGATCTGTTCCAAGTGTCACTAGAACCGCTTTAAAAACGTGGAAGGAAAGCGCTTCATGTGAATTGAAAGAAACGGGAAATAGTAACGTAATCCGTCAATTTATCAACGTAAATTTGGCCGAAAATAATTATTACTAATCAAAGGCTTTCAGGCAGTTCTACTACCATATTATATGCGTTGCAACACATGCCGAAAATTTTCGAGAGTCGAACAAAACGAGCCAATGACGGCCAAAGATATGGCCAAATTTGTGTGTCCTGAAGGATGCGAGAATCACCAAGATTTGCCGGTTGGTGTTTTTGTGAAAAACAAAATCCTCAACATCATTTGTTATTTTAGGAAGTTGAAGAGGTTATTGGTAATAGCAAATGGGACTCTTCTAAATATGGCGCTATTCCATTGTTGCAAAACAATGTAATGGTTCAACTCATTGACAAAAAATATGTTTTATCGAAACTTGGTGTCGATCCAGCATTCCAACAAAAACCAATGCTGATTGAAGACGGTAAGCGTTAATAATTGCAATCAATTTATTGCATACACATATTACAGGAGGGAAGCCGTTTAGAAGCGTGCCAATGTTCAAAAAGATTTTTTACAAGCCCCATTCTGACGTCGTTGCAAATAGTATTGAGCCAAGCCTTATGGAAGTGGATGAGACCGTGGGGTTCGTTTTTTCCGAGCGCGAGCACGTCTATTACTTGCAAGTTCGAAATACAATTCTAGCAATGTGGGCATTACATCCGTTTGTAAGTGTGTTTTCAATCGACAAATCTAACTTTAATTTTCAGACCAATATCACAAGGCAAATGGTAGAACACCAAATTATCACGCGTGGACTTCATCGCATCTATCTTTTGGAGCACGTTTTGCCAGCGGTTCATAATTTTCTCCAATACAAGGGTCTGATTAATTACGGTCTCGTGCCGTTTATTCGACCGATGACAACAAATGTGAAGAAGGTGGTTATCATTGGAGCGGGAATGTCGGGATTAAGTGCCGCTCGACACTTGAAGCATCTTGGTATTCCAAGCGTCATTTTAGAAGGAAGTGGCCGTATTGGTGGAAGGATTAAAGTAGGATAATTATTGCTTCGAAGCATTAAAATCGGTAATTAAGGATGAAAGGTCCGAATTCGGCACTCCGATTGGCTTTGGAGCACAAATTATTGTTGGAAACTACAACAACCCGATAACACTTATGTGTGAGCAAGCTGGAATTAAATTGAAACCCCTTAATGCTTACTGTCCGCTTATTAGTGCAATCGATGGAGAATGTATTACAACAGATGATCCAGCGGTAACTTTGATTATTAGAATATTTAAAGTAATTTGATCTACTTTCAGCTAGACAGAGTTGCCGAATGTCACTACAACGCTATTCTTGATGCTATGAGCCATAATGTTGAAGCTCGCGAAAAACATCTTTCATTTGAACGTATGTATCCGCTTTATCGTTTTATTGACTAATTGATTGCAATTTAAGAGATGTTCAACGATCTTCATCACGTCTTAGTTCAAAAGTGGAAGCCTTCAATGAAGCCGCTTGCACGATCCGAAAAGTTTCAGCAACTAATTGATTTTCATTTGGGAAACTTTGAGTTTTCCTGCGGTGCCGATATTTCTGGAATTTCTGGACCACATCAGGCTGATAATGAAATGTTTCCAAACTTTGCTGGAGAGCATTCTATAATTGTTGATGGAGCTGAAGCATTGATTGATCGAATCAAAGAAGGACTTGATATTCGACTGAACTGCCACGTGAGAATCCATATTTTATTAGAAAATTTCAATTAGTTATCCAGGTTGACCTTTCAATGTGGAATGACAGAAAAGGATTGAGGAAAAGTATTGCCAAATACATTGACGATGATTTCAATGCCGTAATTCTCGCTGTTCCACTTGCGGTCTATAAGAATATGTATGATAACGATGTAATGCCTGAAATCCTTGCATCAAAAATTACTTCTAGTAATTCTCTTGGAGCAGGTCTTATAGACAAGGTAAAATATTCTTTAAATTGAAAATGCAAAATTTTTGTTGATTTAGATTATGATCGAGTTCGATTCACCATTTTGGCACCATTTAAAGGATAAAAATGGGAGACCGGTAAATTATTTTGGGCATGTTCCAAGAAATTCAACGGATAGAAAGCTGTTCAACATTTTCTATGATTTTTCAACGCCGGTATTTGATATATTTTTTGAATTCGATTTTATCGCTTTTTTCAGGGTCGCCATGTGTTGATGTCGTATGTTAGTGGAATAAACGCTGCTGATGATTCGATTTTCAAGGATACAAATCGCATGGTTGAGAAATGTGTAGAAATTTTGCGTTGCATGTTTCCAAATAAGGTAGGTTTTTAATGGAGATATTTCGTATAAATTCAGTATTTTCAAATTTCTCAAATTTGCCATCTTTAACCTCTATTTATTCTCTTGTAAAATTTGCCCAATTTTGACTAAATGCGAATATTTCGATTTTTTTTGGTTTTGCCAAAATGGATCACAAAATGATTTTTTCAGCAAGTAAATCCAATTCGCTGGAAACATTCGAATTGGGCATCGGACGACCGCATTGGAATGGCCTACTCATATGTTCCGCCAAATGGAATGGGAAATATGCATGATATGATGTCATTATGCCATCTGGATACCAATCGTGTTGATAGCATCGACGTGTTTTTCTGCGGAGAAGTAAATCAGTTAGAGATGCTTCAGATTAACAATTCATTTTTCAGCATACCTGCTCATCAGAGCCACAAACAATGACGGGAGCATTTTTATCGGGTGTTCGACAAGCAGCAAATGTTGTTGTTACTCAAAACTACGTCCTACCTGATTAAATTGTTTAAAATATGCATTCTGATCTCTTTATTTTCTCTGATCTCATAGTTTTACTGGTTTAATTTCAGGTGTGCTATTTTTATTCTATGCTACTAAATGTTTCAAAAAATCATATATACCTCATCCGAAATGTTTTTTTTTGTCTTCGGGGTGTTTTCTTTTTTTGTTTCCATTCAAAATATATTTTCTTATTGTGACATTGAACATGTGTTTCTTCTAGGTTGATTTTCCTCAATTTTTTTCTTCTCGCATATTATGAATAAAAATTCATGTCAATTTCAAAAAATCAATAACGCAAAGCGCGCACATACGACAGAATTTTCGAATTTCATATTTTAATTGTTTTGCAAAAATTCTGATTATACAAAAGAACTGATTAATTAACTTTATATATAATTGCCAGAAAGAACAAATTATATGAAAACTATTTATATATGAATAATCGATTATAGATTAAAAAGGGTTGTTTAATATGTAGTAGGAAGTTAGAACTCAACAGTCTTTTTAATTGACACATGGTTTTTGTTTAATAACGAATTACACGGCTTGATATTTGCACCGTGAAGAATTATCATTCACCACATGTGGTGTTGGATGGGCTGATGCATTTTACAAAAATCAATTCCAATCGATTCTTTGAATGAAGCATGTTCTGCAACAACGCTTCGCGGTCATATAATATGAGGAGAATGAGTGTTTAAGAAAAAGATAAATTCGAATTTTTTAGAAATGTTTGAAAAATTTTATATTAGAGATATACAATGTTTCATAATAATTTTTATTTCCGAAAGTCAGCTCGGATATCTGAAATCGAAACAATTTATACAATGAATTCATCTCTATTGCATTTTTCCAAAATTTCAATTTTTTATCAAATAGAATGTTAATTTTATTGTTTCTCAACCACATGATTTGAATAATATTATATTATAAGCTTTTCAGACGATTCGATTATGAAAAAAAATTATAACTGATTGGTGAATTTTAGAATATTTATATTTTTTATAAATAGTATTTATAATATGATTTGAAATTTATGTAGATATTTCGAGTATTTTTTATTTGAAATTAACTAAATTTAATATTTCAAGACAATCGTGGTTTTTTAACATTTATATTTTTATGGAAAATTGTGTTTTCATCTTCCAATGGTACAGTATAAAGAAAATAAAAAATAAAAGATAACTATTTTTCAATTCTTTTGCATTGGCATTGCAGAAAAATCAAAAAAAAAGGAAAAGAGAAAAAAATTAAAAATATATATTTATTTATTATTTGTAAATTTTTAATAATCTTTTCTTTTATTATTTTCGCTGCATTGGCCTATTATACAAAATCGATTGAATTTTATTGACAATAAAAACTATTTCGTATATTTCGGTTAAATTTATATTCCGTTGATGTTTGCTTGTTCTGTTTATTTATGTCTTTAAAATGTCTCAAAAAGTCTTGCTAGATTATTTATTGTTAAGGTCTTATCTCGAACTTGAACAAATGAACTCTTTTGATTGTTTTCCGTTTTTTAATCCGGTAATGTGAAATCATCGTATTTCCTACGAATGCACCTTAAGACGAGGCTTAGCATCGGCCTGCAAACTGACGCATTTTGAGGATTATGCCAAATCGGTTGGTGTTTGTGTTCTACACGCTTCACCTGAATAAGGGCTTTCCGAGCGATTAAAAAGCGTTCTAGGAATTTGATTTCGCAATTACTGCGAATTTTCAAAATTTATTCATATTGTCATATGAACTTACATTATCAACAGTTCCCATCGCAAATTGTAAATTGCATAGCATGCACATTTCAAAACGCTTATCATTTAATCAGAATTATCGCTTTAATCAAGGTTCCAAAATTTTTAAAAAGTAGTTCAACATTTAAAAAAAATGTTCTTGAAAGGTGAAGCTCAATTAGTGTTCAATTTCGGAGCATGACACAATTTATTACAGTGTCTTTAGAATTTTGATACTTTCATTGAGATTGTATTTGATTCAAAACGTCAATCCCCGTCATTCCTTCACTCTTTTTAATTTCACGGAACACTACAAAAGATGCCAGATATGATCCTTATTGAAAACCAGATTTCGATAATAGGGATGAGATTGAAAATTCCATTTTGCGCGCGATTTTCGCCGAGATTTGACTCAACCATAATCACTGACACCTGTTCTATTCAGCTACCAGATCCCCCAGTTCGCACCTCGCCCGCGCAGTCCGGCAATGCAAAATCAAACATGATCGGTTGGCGAAAAAAAAGGAGGACATTATTCGAATCAACACACATAAAGACGACTGTCTTACCATTATTCTTCTCTTTCATCTTACAGCGTGAAGGACGCTTTCAAACTATGCGTTTGTGTTTGTTGCATTCTCGCACACAATTGAAATAGTCAAAATACACCGGCGACGAAATTTGGTGAAAACCTTGAACACACAGTTTGAACGGATAGCGACATTAATTCGATTGGCACGAGTGAAAATTGTTTGAAATTGGAATTCTTCAAAAACAAGGAAATTGAAGATGAAAACATATCGTCAAAGGGCATTGGATACTATTTTCAAAAACAGTTTCAGAAACGTGGGAATCATTGAAATTAAAACTTTTAAAGTATGGAAGCCTCCATACTGAAGCCATCTGAATAATGCCAAATCCTTTCCAGTGGACTATAAATATATATTCTTGTCTAATAATTGTTACAAAAAAAGTTTTATTTTCTCATAATTAATAAGTTATAACTTCATTGTTTTTTAAAGGATGAATTGTGCAGAAATGCCAGAAATTCTTTAAATATATTCAATCGTGATCTTCAATCCACAAACTATTATGATGAGTAAAAAAAAACAGAAATATAATATTGCAGTTCCATTTTCTCATTAACTCAAACAGCTATTTACGCAGTTAATTATATACGTTTTGGTGTCGAATTGTGAAACCTGAACTCATTCCATATAACCTTCAAACTCGACTTTTGACTTTCCCCGTCGAGTGTTTCATTTTTAATGAGTCTCGATGAATGCAGACACACATTCATATCTACAGAAGTTTACACTAAAATTTGCTGGCATTCCACTATACGTTTCGCACATTCGATTTGTTCGTAATAATGAATGTTTATATTTCATAGTTGCGAGCTCATGGAATTGATGATAACACCAATTGTTTAGTTTAAATATTCGAAAACACGTGTTTCGAATGAAGTCGAGCCATCACAAAATCTGAAAATTATACAATTGAATGCCACGGGAATGATTGATTGAAATCAACTAATACGAATTTGATGAATTTCGTTTTCCAAGATCCCCAAATTTGGATTAATTCAACCTGGCGAGCCTATTCAAAAACAATTCAGGAGTTAACTCTCGCCGTATGTACAACTCTGGCGAATATAATTTGTTGGCTTAATGTCCAATCATGAGATTTTGCGCAAAAATAAATTATATTTTGCAAACGAAATCATTATTCACCCCCTCCTCACCCCCGTAGTATGATTTTCTGATAATCGTTGTCCGGCGAAACGAAAACATTTTATCTCACGTGTGCTGTGTTCGATAAGTAATTTATACGGCGTCGTTTCCGATATGCACCGAAGCGCATATACACACATGCACACCCAAATGTATACATAGAAAACGACGGAAGAGACGGACGGCTTGCTCATTTTTCAAATTTTATGTGCCGCGGACCCACAAAAATATATGACATGACATTGCGCGTCATTTCACCCGACAAAAAAATCCCCTTGACATTCACAAATTTTGAAGAATACTATGGATGTGTTGTTAAAAGAATTGCTCGTCAAGAGTGTTTCATGTGTATGTTTCAGTTTTATGACGCCGCAACCAAAACGAATGAATGTTTGAGTTGCCCGTTTTGTGCCATAAAGTGATGGATGCAACTTCGGAAAACCTCACAACCATACTTTTTCTACAAAAAAACCATGATTGGAATCCTTGGAGCTGCAAATCGAATTCAATGTTGGATCCTGAATATCATCGAAGATTCTAAATCTAATTAAAAAATTTCCGAGAAGCGTGCAACTTTTTAGTGTGTGCCCATAATCGTCTTTGCTAATGAGAAAAATATGTTGAATATGTTCTTTGCTCTGATGTGCAAACTATACATAAAATTGCAATCAAGCTCTCACATTGATACTTAACCAAAACAAAAATGGAATACACTCGGTGTGAGCTTATCTAATGAGAAACTTGCCGAACTTCAAGCGGCATAGTTTAATCTAGATAAAGATCAATTTTCAAAAATTTTGAGGCATTGGATTTTTTCCGCCTTCTAGATTTGCTTATATTCTCTCTTCTTCATTTTCTATTTGCTCCCTAATACTCATTTCATCCGTCGTATATAGATTTATTTTTCATATCGTTGTTCTTATAGATTATCAGGTGTTATTTGTGTTTTTTCGTTGGTGAGGTGAGTAATTCTATCGAGAGATTAATTGAAACCATGCCAATGGTAGAGAGAGAGTTGTTTACGAATTTAATTTTATTTGCGCTTAGTCGAATTCCAGATGTTTTCGCGGAATGTGATTGCAAGGCGTCGCCCTATCGAATCTCGATCCCCGAGAAATGCGATTGAACAGACAAAAAAAACTTTCTCATCTATATGTATTTGCATAATTTGCAGCAAAAACCAAATGCGCATATCAAACAGCGAAAACATTTATATGAATATTCGCAACAACTAGCGTGCCCTCCAGACATCCAGTTTGTCCGGTTTCCCATATGCGAATTGAACATTTTACTATGTATTTTAGGAGAGGCGATCGCGTTGGCCGGGCCGCCCGGTGCGCATCAGTCCGATCGCGCGTGTCATTTTCTCTTTCTTCCGCTCGTTGAAAAATGAATACCGTACGCCGCGCGTGAATTTTTCGCCGGCTGGCAGGCTTTGAAGGTGTCGCGTTGTAGTCGCCGGGGCCAGGTTTCTCATAATCTGCGCGATTTGTGAAGACCGGTTCCATTTCAACGAATACGGCAAAAATCAGC